TTATTTAATTGGACAAATTCCTCCTTCCGTCTTACCTGTCTGCCTACCTGGTTGACTATCTGTCCGTTTTTCTGGAGCTGCTTGGATGTTGCACCAATATAAGTTATACCTTGGTCTATCCTCAGGAAGTTTTGAGTTGAATGGGGAATACATAAGTGCCATTTTCAACGACTGAAAATTTTCAGTTGCTGAAATGCAGTTCAGCATTGAGCCTTTCACGGGAGAAATATTGGGAGGTGTCTATGCTAAAAAGCTGATAACAGGAAAAAGTGTTGCTACTGTGTCTTCTATTCAACAGAGCAGTAGTTTAAGCAAGCAGCAAACATATCATTCCACCTGTTCTATTCTAATTTTGTTTCTGTCTGAGGAGATGGGACATATTCCTGACATGAGACTTAACCATTGTGTTGTAGAGTACAGGTATGAGGAAGAAGGATTCCTTCATCTGCATCATGAGTGTAGTTTCATTTTATGAAAATTACTTCAGTATCAGAGTCATTTCTTGGGATGCAGCCAATGGAAGATCTTTCTCATCTGTTTTCCAAGCAATAATTAAATCCATCATTCATTAAAAGTACCTGAAATCTAAATGCAACATTTCAATTTGTACAAAACTCACTGTTTTGGTTTCACACGGCCAGAAAAAAATAATGCCAAATCACATCGAAGCAATTTTTTTCTCCCTTGCCGTTTAACTGCCACACTGAAATGTTGAATATTTGAACGATCTCCTTACAGTGTCTCTGAACTTTTCACCCACTGGAAACAGCTGTATCACTAGTATGATTGCTGAGCCTTTTTAAACCTAAGTTGGATTTGGCCCTTAGCCACTGTCCCCCAACAGCCCAACTCCAGCCAGTGGCCTAGTAAAGGACACCTACAAAGTGCCTTTAACATGCTGAGCCTGTTAGATACAAAACTCTTGGGAGGGCAGCAAAGATTCCTGCTTACCCTGTCTTCTCTTTCAAATACTTTGTTGAGATAGATACTAATGAAGATTGACTAATTCAATGGATTATCCCATTAATTTGTTTTTTACACATTTGTTTTGGCAGATTTTTCCATGCATGCTTGTGAATTTTCTAACTGCTTTGATGTTTTGACGCTGGGCCTATATAAATCTCAGCATTGGACCCGATAGCTTTACATTCTCATGTCAGACCCAGTTTTGCTGTACTGTAATGTTCGGTTTCCTAAGCGTTGGCATTCCCAGTTCCATGACTGCACTGACACTGAAGTGCTACTTATCTGCAGAGCCACATTGATGAAAACAAGGAGGGGCTTTTTCATTTTGTATTAATGTCATGTTTACACTGGTTGCAGGACCACGTGCCGTCCAAACCTATTGTGTTACACTGACAAAGCAGGTTATAGTAACAGAAAATGTCAGGGATTTGTAAGTTCACTGCACATCCACGAGACCATGAGACCGATAAGGTAATTTGCCAAAACTACACCTCGCCTCTCTTGCAGAAGAGGAAGATAAGGACTCATGTGATGTTTCTCTCTAAATGAACCCTCTGAGAAAGAGGGACTGCTTGAGACCTTGCCACTGAGGGCAACCTCCATGCCTGACCTCCCAGGTAACATAAATATGTCAGAAAGCTCTAACCAAAACAAAATACAATGCAAGAAGTGTTGGCAGAGCAGGCAAATGACATCAAAGGCACCTGAGCTGTGCCAACACCAGCTGCTTGAGATGATAACCCCAGAGGCTGCTCTGGAAACCACGGCCCCAGCATGGTGGGAGGCAGCCAGGAGGCCCCTTGTCCTGGTGGGTAGTGTCTATGCTGGAGCTTGAGTCGTGGGATAGCATTTTTAAGCAGGCATCATGGTGAATCTCCACTCTTGAAGAATAAGAGAACCTTCTTACTTGGTGGTAAGAGGGTCTTACCACCAAGTGTCCTCAAGGCTAAGACAAACCTTATCTAAGATAAAATATAAGATAAAAAGGAGTCTGTAAAATTTCTTACGGGGGATCAAATTTTTAACAACTTTTTTTTTTTTCCTAGGATGTAATTTTTTACTTGCTTTTCATTTTCTTCACTTAAGTAGAATAGTAACAATCCCACTGAGTTCTGCTTATCTGTAGGTGTTGGCAACAATTTGTACAGAGCTCCCTTGCTTTAAATAGCTTTTGTTTCATATAGTGGGAGCTGGTAATTCGAGTGGGCGCTTCCCATCTGCAAATCCTGTATCCTGTATATCTGTGTGCACACGCCTTCAGGGGCACCAGTCTTGGCAATCTGTCAAGAACACTTCTTAAAATTACTCCAGTGAGTTAAACAGACAGTATGGGCAGATGCAGTAATATTCTCCAAAAGGGGAAACCTTATCTCTGTAAGACTGCTGGTTTGGGAATCTGTGTGAAGGGCTGCGTTTTTTTAACATACCAGGCTATATTTATCTAGGTATTTTTATTTTTTCATAGCTTTTTTACTAACTAAAAAAAAAAAAAAACACATAAAAACAAAACAAAAACAAAACAAAACAAACAAACAAAAAAAACCCCCAAAAAAACCCAACCCACTTGTTTTTATTCTGAGCCTAATGCAGTCAATCAGTACTGGGGACTCTGCAGTCCTGGCACACAACCCCCTGTGCATTACTCAGCAGTGTATGGAGGTGGCTGTTTGGAGGAGCCCAGCCTTGCGTACCTTGCTTCTTCCCATAACTGAGTAATAAAGATGCCCACATCGCCTGGGGCTCCTCAGGCACCCAAGGCTCTCAAATCAACTCGATTAATCACTCTGTTTACAGCAAAACTTCTGGGAAACTGTGTCCCTTGGATCTGGTAGAAATCATCCCAAAAGGGCAGTGTGTAAAGGATTAATTTAAATTCCAGATTCCAATTTCCTGGTATTGCCAAAAATAAAGATGTTGTTTTATTTCTTTTATCAGGGTTAAGAATTAGATGCAGGAAAAAAAAAAAAAAAAAAAACAGAAACATTAAACTCTGAAATTTTTTTTTTTTTTTTCCCACTTCCATTTTGGTAAGACACAACTAATTTGCTGTCCTATCTGCTACATATACTGCTGCTGAACTAATCCTTTCTGTGCCCTAGATTTTTATTAGCCTTGCTCATTTATTACTGAAATATTTATTTTCTAGGATTCCTTTTAATTCTGTTTGCTACTACACTGCCTTTTCTCTTGAATATGATTTTTCTCTACTGTCCTCTACAGATTCCTGGCCTTTTCTAACCTGGGACGTATTTATAGTAGCCTGATCTAGTTTTTGTGATCATTAGTGATCTTCTCAGCAGGATATGTTCCTTTGTCTTATTCCTAATGTGATTCACGATGCATTGCAATTTAAAGTGTCCTTATGCTTGAACCATTACGCTGAGATTTATTGTACTAAACCATATTCCAAGAGATTTTCCCAAGGCTTTTCTTTGTAAATTTGCACAGTACCCATGAGGTGTTTGCTGTCAAAGTCCTTGCATTTTAGTAATAGCACTTTAGCATTGTTAATCTATATATGTTTTAATTTTCCTTTGGCCAGCTCATCTGTTTTAATTCCTTAAGCATTCAAATTTCATAGAATCACAGAATCATGGAATGGTTTGGTTTGGAAGGGACCTTCAAGATCATATATCTCCACCCCCCTGCCCCGGGCAGGGCCCCCTTCCCCCAGCCCAGGGGGCTCCCAGCCCCGTCCAACCTGGCCTTGAACCCTTCCAGGGAGGGGGCAGCCACAGCTGCTCTGGGCACCCTGGGCCAGCGCCTCACCCCCCGCACAGGGAACAATTTCTGCCTTAGATCTCACCGAAATCCAGCCTCTTTCAGTTTAAATCCATTACCCTCATCACTACATTCCCTGATAAACAGTCCCTCCCCAGATTTCCTGTAGGTCCCCTCTAGGTACTGGAAGGCCACCATAAGGTCTCCCCGGAGTCTTCCCTTCTCCAGGCTGAACAACCCCGACTCTCTCAGCCTGGCCTCATAAGGGAGCTGCTCCAGAGCCTTCCCCAGTCGTCTGGACCCACTTGAGCAGGTCCTTGTCCTCCTTATACTGGGGACCCCAGAGCTGGATGCCGTATTCCAGGTGGGGTCTCACCAGAGCTGAATAGGGGGAAAATCCCCTCCCTCGACCTGCTGGCCACAATTTTCTTGATGCAGCCCAGGACACGTTGGCTTTCTGGCCTCTGAGCACACATTGCTGGCTCACAGGCAGTTTTCCATCCACCAACACCCCCAAGTCCTTCTCCGCAGGGCTGCTTTCAACCTGCTCATGGCCCAGCCTGTATCTGTGCTGGGGTTGCCCCGACCCACATGCAGGACCTTGCACTTGACCTTGTTGAGCTTCATGAGGTTTGCACAGCCCCACCTCTCCAGCCTGTCCGGGTCCCTCTGGATGGCATCCTTTCCTCCAGCATATCTTTCTATTTCTTTTGAGATACGTCGAGGAAAGGAGGTCTTGTTCTTTACAGACAATAAAATACCAGAAATAAATATGAAAATAGACCTGAACATCAGGCCATTAGTGGTGTCTTTATGAGCATGCCCGCCATGCCTCAATGGTGTAAGTACAGTAATCTGCTCCACAGATTTGACTGTGTGAGCATATTACTATGTTTAGAGGTGGATAAATACCAGCATAAATAGATGAGAGTGTTTTAACAGAATTAATAAAACCATCTTGTGCATGCAATCCAACCATAAATGGTAAACAGATTGAACACAAAATGGTAGAAAAATACAAATGTCTTTTTAGACATGTTGGAGTAAGTAGAGTATTCTGCTCTGTCCTGTGCACGTGAATGTGTGTACATGTATTCATAGAGATACAAGGTATCTGTAACCAGTGAGTGCTGTCTCCTGAGCTTGATTTAAAAATTGAATGAGTTCATTATAATGCACAGACCCCACCCCCCACCACCAAAAAGAAATCCAAGGAATCAATCTAATCTGCTTTACTAAATGAACATGTGAAAGTGCTTATGCGGGATAAACCTGGGGACTATACATATTTCTCTCTCTTTTTCCTTAAACAGAATGAAAATGCCCTTGTGAAAATAAAGGAGTTAGGAGTCGAGCTTGCAAAGATCAGGGATGAAGTTGGTAAGTAGTACAAGCAAATAACAACTGTACACAAAAGCAGTTATTCCCTGTGATCCGATCCTGGGGAACCCCCATACACGTGATGAAGTGTCTTCTGAAGCCCAGTGGCAAGGGGGTTTGTGGCTTTGCAGGGAACAGTGATTTTACCTCTTTGTGGGGACAGGTCCATCAGCACACACACTGGGGCTAGTTGTGCATCATGTTTACTAGACAAATTGTCTTTCATAAATCCATAGCTTCTATTTTTAAGCTATGTACCACCACTGGCAAGGAGAAAGCATAACATGATGCCAAGTGGGAACTTGGGACTGTTGTAGCGAGTAGTGACTGAGAATCCAGCGCTTATGTATAATTGCATGTTTTGCCATTCAGCTACAAACTGCAGGATACCAATCTCAGAACTCATTAACACCTCTAAGGTCTCTTCCTGGTTGAAAGACAGCAAAAGCAACGTGTCCCATTCAGTCTGTGTATTCCCTGTGTATCTGCATGCACTGCTTTTCTTGTCTGGTTTCTGATCTAGACAGGTGAGCCAGGGAAGGGGCAAAGACATTGCAACTCTGAAAAGAGAAGATGGGCTTGCACTCTGGCTTTAACCACAGGATGAGCTCTTTTGGGCTTAAATCTCCCCAGAATGGGTGTGGCATTGGGTTCATCTATCCCAGGGCAAATGGAGAGGAGGAAGGGCCTGGAGGCAGCACCAATGGGGCAGGGGAACACCCCGAGTACCTTGTGTTGGAACCACTGGTGACTGGAGCTGTGAACAGGGGGGACCTCTCAGCTTTCCCTGCGTGTGGGAGCCCCGTTGCTGGGTCACACATCAAGCACAGATTGTGCCATGTGGCGGGAGGGTGACTTGGTCCAAGCCCCTGTGAAGTGGGCAGAACTACAGATCCTTCCTGTTCTTCGTCTTCACCTTGCCTATGACAACCCCCTGCAGAAAAGCTGAGCGCAGCCCTTTTCTGGTGCCCAGCAGCTTGTGCTCCCTGCTGTGCCCCTCTGAAATTTTTCGCTGATCATCATTTCATAGAGAGCTTTGCTGCCTGTGCATTCTTTAGGCAGGATATATCTGAAGTTCACCACTGAATACCCACTTCTTATCTGAAAGCCCTTTCCAGCCGGTTGGGTTTGCTCAATTTCCTGTGTGCTTTCGCAAGTGGTGGTGACACAGGAAGGAAAGAGAGTACCGTGCTGGAGATAAAGAGCTCTGCTTCCATTTAAACCATGTTCGTACAGCTGAAGTGAATACAAATCACTGGTGGTTTTGCTGGAGATATAACTGACTGTTCAGGGGTCGCAGGGGAGCATGTTCAGTAACAAGAGATCACTGCACTGCCTGCCCTTGCCATTGCTCTTGTGCATGCAGCAGTAGACACCTCCTTTGCACAAAACTGAGTCCTGATGGAGTACACGGAGACAGTTTCAGTAAGAACCCCAAATACTCCAGAAAAGCAGTCTGAGGTCTCAGCTGAGCTGTACTGCTTCAGAAGGGAGATTAGCCATAGATATGTATGAGCTTTCTTTCCCAGAGAGGGGAAAGATGTTGTGAGATAGTCCTTTCCTCAGTGGTCCTGTAGGCATGTGTGCTGGAGAGGAGCCACCCCAGGCCACCTCCTCTTGAACAAACCACCACCCTGGGACACACTGAGAGTCTGAGCAGAGGCTGTTTAGGAGTGCCAGGGGCATCTGGTGGTCTGGCTGGCTTGTTGGAGGTAATCTTCTCTGTACAACAGCCCTGAGATACAACATGCCTAGGTAGAAGGACTCCCAGTAGGGATGGACAAAAAGACAAACGTGCAGATATTGCACTCCAGCAGAATGAGGAAAACATAATCAGCAGCACAAATCCTGGTAGGTAACCATACATACGGAAGGTGAATGTTTATGTTTTTGAGTGTTAGTTAAAAATTGCTGGACAGTCTGTTTTCCTTTGGAAGAAAAATATAAAATTAATTTCCGTGAAACAACCAGTGTTTTAAATCTGTAGACAAGGTGAAATGGCAAACGCCATCTGAATGAGAGTCAGTGCAGTTCTTTGCTGTCTCTAAAGCAGTGCAAGCTGGAGCTGTGGGTGCTGCTGGAGACACGCAGCCCATCTGCGCTACAGGAGGGCTACTTTGGTCTCACTATCAGATGAATCTGTATGTTGTATTGTACATATTCTGCCAAGATTAATGCAAATAAAGAATGAAACAGTTATTTGTTTGACAACAGCAATCATAGATGATTCTGTGAAGAAATTTAGGGAAAAATCTACAGAGGATGTTATTTTGATTTCAACCAAGTTGTAGTTCTGACTTGTCTCAGTCACTTTGATAAGTAGTCTCTCATTACTTTAAAAATAACCAGTCCAGTTAAACATCATGGGTGTTGTTCAGAAATTCCTGATATCTCATGTGCAAATTCACCGTGTCAGACTCACTGATGCAAATGCCTGGATGAACCAGTAAAACAAGGCTGGACTAGCCAGGGTTAATACAGGCACTGTGTCCAACATTAATTGTTTAGGCAATAGCTGTAATTCAGATTTATGATTTAGGTGCTGAATGTATTTGGTTTTGAGAGCACACAGTCTTTGTTAAAGTCAACAGATTCTGCAGGATTCTGCTATACAAAGCAATGAAACTGCAAGATATAATCCACTGTTGAGAAAATAATACATTTTTAAGGGAATCTCTTTTGGTAAATAAAATCACTGCTGAAGCAACAGCAGTGATGGAGCTTGTATAAAACAGCCTCGGGAGACCTGCACCCTTCTGGAGCCAGGCAAAATATTTAGGTTCAGATAACACTGTCCACCTTTACCCCTAGCACTGCTGTGAAGTGTCATACCTCATCTGAAACCAGCATGCAGTGAAGTAGGAAAGTGCTTCTCCCTTCCCAGTCCTGAGGAGGAATATGGCCTTTATAAATGCTGAGGGACTTGTTATTTTACACAATAAGATTTGCTCATGTATTTTGCTAGAAATATCAAGGCTAGAAACACATAACAAGCAATCGTTCTACACCCAAGACACCCATCTTTATAAACTATATATTAAGCATTTTTCAGCTGCAACAGTGAGACGCCTGGAATAAAGAGATTTTGAACACTGTCTGTTTCCCTTCAAACTAATGGGAATTAAATGTCAGAATTACCTGCTCCTTTGCTGCCAGACAAATGACATGTCAAGTGAGTTGAGAGGACGTATGTAGATGCATAAAAACCTAGATGAATGGGAGATGACCAAATGTCAAGTTTAAAATTCGTATTATCTGTGTTCACGAGAGTTTGAAAGCCAAAACTTGTGTGCCACCTCCTCCTGGATACGCCTCCCAGACAGAGGACCCTTAACCTGAGTGAGTGGCTGTGATTTGTCTGCGAATCTGAGGCCAAGGGTCAGGAGGAACAGCAGAGCCCACGCGGCGAAGAGCCCGTTTCTCACATCAGAAGCAGACGGTCCCCGTGCGAGGCCATATGACACCAGCCCCCCATTTCCCAGGGGAGTTACCCCCCAAATACAAAGTGTCAGGGCTGGGGAAACTCAGCTGTGGCTCGGGCTGGGTTGGTGTGGGAGTATCGGTCCATTAGCGACATCTCCCCTTCCCTCACCTTCCCAGCCTGGACTGAAATTGGTTTTTCTCATCTGTCACGCACTGTAAAAGCCACTCAGTGCTCAGGGAGCAGGGAAGAAACGGCAGCCACTCTCATTTAGCCCAGCACGCTGTTGTCCCGGGAAATGCCATGTTATGTCAAAGTCCTTTCCAGCCCGTGAACAGGAATTTAAATACCTACAGAGAAGTAAAAAGAAAACCAGGATATAACTCTTCGTGATAGCAGCTGATAGCTGATTCAGTCTTTCCTCATCACTTCAGTCCTTGGCCTCATTTGTCTCAGTTTGGGAGACTGTGGAAGAAATTACTCCTTTTCATTAGAGGTGTTTTATATTCAGTATAGGGCAAATTTCCTGGGCAACAGCCTCATTTTCTGCCTCCAATAGCATTTTTGGATGTGTGGGGAACATGCCATGCAGACACTCTTTCTCGGCTTTCCTCTTCCCTCCATTTTGCACCCAAATCTGGGTTTGATTTGCAAGATGTGAATACCTTTGAATTTCAGGTTACAGAAAGCATTTTGGATGGACTTTCTTTTGGTTAGAGCATGTAATTTCACTGCCCAGCCCTCCCTATGTGCTGGGTAATCTCATTAGAGAGGCTGGAGAGAGACGGGGTTCATTACAGCTCCAATTTAAAGCCTGAGTAAGTTTGAATTCTACTGAACCTAGAGCTGCAAGCGTTACCTCTTGTCCTCCAGCTCTGAGATCACTTTGCATGCCGAAGAAAACAAAAAATAAAAAAAAAGCAAGAGAGAGGGTTTAGACCTATAATCCAAACAACCAGGAGACAAGATATTTCATATAAATTGTGCTCTTCCACTCTAGGTATGAGGCAGATGGGAAAGCTTTCTACGCGCCGCTGCTGCAGTGCTAAGCTTAGTGGTTGAGGCTCATTTTCTCTCTTTCTGAAAGGAGTAGAGAGCTTGAAAGAGACACAGAGTCCCCGTTGGTGCTCCAGAAAACATCAGGATCAGAACAGGACCCCAGTAGTGATATCTGTCTGGACATACTGAGCAAGTCTGGATATTGGTGTCCAGTATGCGTGGAAGTAGAGCTCTAAACACTGTGGAAAAATAGCTATATGGGGAAGGGGTCAGTTAGCTTGAGTGCCCAAACTATCTTGTATGGGTGCACCTAACATAAGCTGTGGTCACAGCAGTAGGTAACTTTGACAAATTGTTGCTATTCTGAAAAAAAATTAGCACAGTCAGATACCATAGTAGAAAGGGACATGAAAACATGATTATTGAGCAAATATATGGTCATTAAATAAGTGTTGTTGAAACATTCAGAAGTTGCCTACCCAGGGAGACAGCTGCTTCCAGTTCACCGATTTACAATGCGATACAGGTCTGTGCGTGGCACATGCACTTCGAAAGGCAAAGGAAGGATGAGTGGCTAATACGGATGGTGTATTCGAAAGGTGAACATTTTTCTAAACCAGCTACGGATCTAGATCAGAAAGAAAGCCTGTCAGTACCATTAAAAACACGTCTCTTCTTCTCTAGTGTTATTCTGAATGTTAAGGTCGTGATGATTTTGCTAATTTCTTACCTGTTGGATCTTTTCAAGTGAGCAAACTTGTTCTCTAAATGTAGTCTGGCTGACCTTTTCCAACTTACATCAGGTCTGCAGTATCTGGATTGATTGCAACCATTCTTCAGCAAAGCAAAGGGCCAAGGACACAGCGTTCGTGACACTGCTGTCCTGGGACCTGGGGAACAACATGGGGGTAGAATAAAACGGCGAAATAGACTGACTATCCTTGACCTGATGGAACTGTTGCAGTTGCACCTCCTGAAACTAGTTGCAGACATGGTTGTGAATTCAGAGACATGGTCACTGGTCAGTTCACAAGAGTAAAATTTCACATTTTCTGATTGCCTTCAGTATCAGTCTTTCATATGCACTCTCTGATTCCAGCAGGCACACAAGATAGTGGTTTGAATATAAAAATATTTTAAGCAAGTGTGCATTGATGGATTCAAGAGGTTCTCAGTGGAGCTGGTATGAAAGACAGGTTTATGAGGTGAGCGGCTTCTAACAGCTGGAAAACAGAGATGCATCGCCTTCTCTTGGCCAAGTGGTCAATCACATCCCCTGTATAACATGTGCACAGGATGCACCTTGAGTGCCCAGCCAGCTTCTGGCACATCACTGAAAGTGGGGATTTATCTAAGACTGTGGCTTGAGAGAAGGAGGTAAGAAAAATCTTGTATCCCAGTTGAAAGGCTTTGTGTCAAGTCTCACATACTCTTTCTTATATCCAAGGCAAAGTAAAAGCCCCAAAGCCTCAATCTGTGGATCCAAGACACTGTCCTGGCCAGGAGGGGACATCCAGTCAGCCAGTGGGTCCATGGAGTTCCCTGCTTTTCATTACTACTACTACTACTACTACTACTACTACTACTACTACTGCTACTACTACTGCTACTACTACTATTATTATTGTTGTTGTTGTTGCTGTTATTATTATTATTGTTGTTGTTGTTGCTGTTATTATTATTATTGTTGTTGTTGTTGTTGTTATTATTAATATTATTATTATTACTTTTGCTACTACTACTACTGCTACTACTACTACTACTATTATTATTATACTTAGTCAGATCCCAGTTCTGTACAGGCTTTTGCATACTGTGTCAGTGCTTCTGTTTAAACAAATGCACGTGTGTATGTGTGTGTAAGAGAGCAGGACAGAGAGAGAAGTGACAGCAAGAGCTTGTTGACGGCCGAGATTCATGTGGGCCCCAGAATCAGTGAGAACCACTGTGCTCAGTGCTGTACAAACAGATCTGACGCTACCGTTTGCTCCCAAGATGTTCAGAGCCTGGCTGTATGGTCTTGTCTCCACCAGCCGTCAACACAGCAAGATGGAAGAAACTGCAGAGCGAGAAGGAGGAGCTGGAGAGGCGCTTCGAGGAAGAGGTGAAGCAGCTTCGCAGGCAGCAGCAGGAGGAGCTGCAGGCGCTGGAGCAGCGGCTGCAGGAGGAGTACACCGCCAAGAGGGAGAGCTTGCAGGAGCAACACAGGCTGCAGCTGGAGCAAGTCAAATTGCAGCATCAGGATCAGGTCAGTCTCTGCCTGTTCCCTCTGAAGAGTGAACCATGCCAGTACTGAGAAGGGTCAGGTAATGAAATGCATAGAATGCTCCAACATGAAGACACTGGTAATGAACTGACGACTGGAAAAACACATTCCTGACTATCTTTACTGCTTTTCCTCCCTATTATTCCCTTTGGTATTTCTACTTAGTAGTACATTACATTGTCATATCTTGTCTTTACGTGCTTCCGGATGTTTTACAACACAAATATTAACACTAGCTCTGCTCCCCACACATTCTTGCTCCCCAACCCACCTAGTGGTAGTTAGGTAGTAACTAATACTACCTAACTACCACTAGGTGGGTCAATTAGTAGTCAATTAATATGAAACCAAGGGTTGATCAAGAAGCTGCTCAACACAGGTAAGGCCAGCAGAGCCCATCATTCTTTGTAGTGATACTTAAAGGGAGATAGAGTGGAGTGATAAGGCCCATGCAACACGTAGCCTAAACATCAGGCAGGTGATGCGCTCTGGGTTCCCTGATTGCTGCTTCACCATTCAGCCTAACCTCTTAGATTTTACATCCCAAGTGTTTCTCCTTGCTTTGCATTTTGTATGTAGGTAGGAATACTTCCACATGCAGCTACTTTAGTCTTATTTTTAACAGCTGGACCAAACAAACACTGTAACTCACTTATGGTTACCTCTCACATGGTGGCAGAAAATCCTGCTCTGGATTATGGCAATAATGCCTTTACCTGTCCTTTTCTCATTTTGCAGTGAGTAGCAGATACAGTTCTGATTTTTCCAGCTGCAACTCTTACCCGTTGTCCAGCACCACAGCTCCCAAGGGCTTTTCTCACAAGAGTATCTGCCACACTCAGGTGCACTCTGCAATCTGTGCCTTTGGGCTTCGACACGCCGCAGCCCCTGCTGCCATGGGAATGCCACCCAGGCATCTGATGCAGAACAGGGGCCAATTATCTGTGAAACATGAGCCCAGCCAACAGACCCCCTGTTTGCCAGCAGCATTTTCTCCAACCTGGAGGTTTTGCCAATGCCCAGGTTAGCTGGAGTTGGTGGAGATTGAATTTTTCACTCTCTGAGGCAATGTAAACTGATTGCAACAGTGCAGTGCAGACGTGGTCTGTGAGATGGGTGGATGCGACCGAAGGTCGAGGAGAAGGTTTTATATCTGCATGTTCTGTATCTCAGGGTATCTCCAGCGTGCACTTCGAGGCTGCTGCCTGAAGCAGGAGCCTGTGGCTGAGGCTGAGGCTGCTCGTGCCCGGGGAGCGGGCTGACAGCAGACTGCAGTGGGGTGCAGAGCGCAGGGATGTCGCACGCGGTTCCCAGGGACAATGACAGCACTAGCCGTGGTCTCAGGAGCAAACCAGCCCCATCAGCAGAGACTGTGCCTGAGCTAATTTAGGCTGTTTAAGAGGTAAAGGCTGATGCAGCACTGTGCAGCCATAGCTGAAGCACCTCCAGGAGCCAGGGAAAGGGGCTGGCCCGCACTGAGCTTATGGGAGAGGAGAGGAGAGGGAGCACCAACACAGCACACCAGACACCACTGTCTTTAAGGTCAACTATCTGTAAAAAGAAAAATGACATCATTTACTGCCTGTACTTGGCGTACCATAAAACACTCCTGAGATGAGAGTGCAAATACAAACCGAGATAATGACAATTTTATGTCACTCGTGTCACAGCTGCCCGGTGTTAGATTTATTGTGTAACACCAGTGATACGCCGGGGCTGGGCACAGCGTGGTCCTCACTGGCATGTGGGTCAGACAGCTGTGCCAGACAGACACACAGAGTTCCAGCCTGTGTCCCGGAGTGTCTGATGCCCTGGGTACCACTGTGCAATTTGGTCTGATTCTTTGGTGGGGGGATTGAAGTGCTCTTGCTAGATTTTACCTATTTGAATTGCTGTGACTGCTAGTCATTACTGATTTGCAGGCTGGTAACTCGGCACACAAAGGCTTTATGTAACTGGGCTGTTTTGTCTCACACAAACTACCTTCTTCTGTTAGTTCACTGATTTTCAAAGGTGCATTAGAAGGTGCTGTCAAATAGGTTTTTGTGTTCTAAACCAGATTTTTCAAAATGATTAGAAGCTGTGCTGAGCCATGCCTTTTGGTTCTCATTTCAGTTTATGCAAGATGGTTTTCCTCCAATGCCCCTCAAATTTTCTGCTTTGCTTTCTGAGGGGGGGTGGTGTTCCCAAAAGCCTTGGCTTTTTTTTTTTCCTTCCACTGTGTCAGTGTGTCAGTTTGCCTAGAAGCTGCAAGCCTTGCCTCTCCTGGACCACCAGGATTTAACATCTGTGAAGGAATTTGTTCCACCAGTTAATTTTTTTTTGCTGGGGTACTTTATCTCTGCTACTTTTTGAAGTGCTTCTTCAAGCTTCCAGGACCACAAGAACAGATGGTGGGTTTTTTCCCCTCAAGTTGATCAGTGCAAGAAAGGGTGATGTAGGTCACCATAGGACTTGACTAGAATTATGCTTTTTTTTCTCATGTTCTCATCTATTGTGATTCTATTCATCACCACACAGAAGCAATGGAAACATATCTTTCTCTCTGAGGGGCAAATAGTTCTTTCTCCTCCAGCCCTCTTATTTTCTCCAGAGCACTTTGTTCCCTGAGTTACTGAAGATAAGAGAAACATTTCTCTCCACTGCTTTAAAAGTGCTGTGCTGACCCTAGTATCAGATACTAGTAAGGATACCCTGATACTGGGCTGTTCATCTCTTTTCCCAGGTAGCAAGTGATAGGATGAGAGGAAACAGCTTCAAGTTGTGTTAGGGGAGGATTGGATATTAGGAAAGATTTATTCTCCGAAAGGGTTGTCAGACATTGCAACATGCTGCCCAGGGAAGTGGTTAGGTCACCATCCCTGGAGGTGTTTAAAAGATGTGTAGATGTGGTGCTTAGGGACATGGTTTAGTGGTGGACTTGCCAGTGCTGGGTTAACAGTTCGTCTCGATGATCTTAAGGGTCTTTTCCAACCTAAATGATTCTATGATTCTATGATCTCAGAGTTTAAGCGCATCTCTTCAATCCATGGTTCTGTTAGCAATTCCTACCCTGCTGAACACCCATTCTGTGTTGAGAGCTCTTGGATCAGAGGAGGCTTACAGGCTAGGTCGGAAAGCTGATCACCAGCAATGTTTCTTGGCCAAGGAAAAGAACTTTGTTAGTCTAGGAACCAAGGTGCATGAGGAGTAAGGATCCTTAACAGCTGCTGAGCTGGTGCTGATCCAGGCCAGTGTTAGGACACCTAACCCATGAGCTAAAGAGCTCTTATGCTGGACTTGAGAAAAGCCTTGTCCTTGAGCTGTCCAGCTGCATGGGGGAATTTGAGCTCACATTCATGAAGGCAATAACGATAGCAAATCCTTTTAATCATGGATCTGCATGTATTTCTGTATCCACACATCTAGCTTGGCAGTTAGTCATCCTGCTTTCATGGTTTCTGGTCACGACTTAGTTTTCCACATTGTCTTGCTGTAGTCACTGTTTAGTCTAGTATCAGATAGCTGTTGTTTCTTCAGATGCACAGTTGTTTGGGTTCGGAGGCTCAGCTGTCTCTGAGGAGGTGAGACAGCTCTTTCAGCATAGCAGAGCATGAGAGTCAAACTCCTCACAAACCAGTCATGTGAGCCGATGCATCCCAGTATTTCTCATATTTCCTTGCACCTGAGGGCAAAATTGCAAACTAAAGGTTGCAAACCTGGCTTGCCAGTGCTTCTTGCTTGAGCTGCTCAGCTCCAGCTGTTTGGTCCATGGACTTAGCGAACTTCTCCCACTGGAGCCTCCTCTTGATTTTACTTTATTGGGTCTCAAAAATCTCACCTGAGCTCCTTTTTATAGCCAGAAATAACCATCATATGGGTTAAGTGAGTTGATCAAGCCTATAGAGTAAGTTAATGACAAAGTTGGAATTAGCATCCAAGAGATCTGCTTCCCAGTGCCAAGTAGACTATCTGCTATGAAAAACTGCAGAGAGGAGGTCATGCTGGAAGATTAAAAAGAGCTATTTATGATGTGGATATGAAGCACGCAGAAGACAGAAAAATCCCTGCAGACCATTTGGAGCATATTTAATTGGCTTTATAGATAAATAACCTGCCAAGGATGGTGGCAGCGAAAGGAGACCCCTTCATCTTCTGAAGGTGTTGGAGTTGAGCATAATCATTCCTATAGGGTGCTGCTCAGCTGAGAAGCAATTAGAGTATGAATAAAGACTTATGCAAGGGTGAGGTAAGGAACATGGCAATGCTCATGAGGTTTCAGGCCACAGATATCTTATACAAGGACATCATGTTCTGGGAAAAGTCAAGGGACAGCCCCTATCCCATTAATAGCCCATTGAGTCATCAAGCCCCACTTTCCCTGCTCTTTCATGCAATAGGCTGAGTCCCCACTGTTTTGCAAACAGTTCTTCACTACTGAGTTGTTTCCCACGTTATTATGAAAATAAATTTGGATAATTTTAAATTCCCTGTTAAATGCCTATCTTTCATTCTAATAACATGCTTTTTCCAATACAGTTGGCAATTTTTCTTCTGATGCGTAATCTAACACATATGTTTGACAGTTAAATGCAGTGGAATAACATTTATTCCAGTCAAGACATGCTCAGCTGCAGTAACTTTCTACTGTTATTTAACATAATAGAGAGCAAAAAAGCTGTTTAAAGTCAAGTCTCTTTGCAATGAACAGCTGAACATTGCCAGATATCACAGATAATGTGTTAAATGTAGGGACTAAGATCACAGTAAAGCAAATTGATGAATTGCATTTGGAAACTGTTCTGGACCACTGACTTAACCTAGATCACCGCTTCTTACTGTATTTTCCTTAATGATGCATACCAAAACACCATCATTAGGGATCTCACTTTGCCTTTAGCCGAGTCTAGTAGCAAACAATGTGCTGAAGGGTGTCCAAAGCCATCGAGTGCACGGGGACACAGGCTGCCCACAGCCCCGTCCCGACTGCATCATCCCCTGCTCCCGTGACGGCTGCGTGCAGCGTGGTGTGCCGTGCACTTTGCTGGGCGGTTTGCAGCAACAGGACCTCCTTCTGGCCTCAGTATCAGATCGGGAAAAGGTTTTATGGCTTCACTGTCATCTTGCTTACTTCCACACCAACCTGAAAACTCCTGTGTCTGCACTGAAAAAGGTGCTGTCGTGTCTTTCATCAGTTTATTGGACACGGACTTGAAACACGTGACTTAGGATAACATAGGAATTCAGGCACTGATGATGCTGTAGGATACTCTTTTTCAAGTAAAAGTGTGATAGATTGCAATTCGTTTTACATACCCACTAATAACAATTTCACTGTTTCTCTAGAAATAAATATTTTACATCTATAAATCACTCATAAGCACTTTCTGTGGAAGTTAATTCAAGGCTTTACCATAAAAATCATTGCAGCAAAATGTTGTGAAGACAAAAACCAGGATGGCTCAGAACTGTGCACATTCATCTGACCATCAGAGGGACTTGTGTCATTAATATAATTTAGATTAATGGAATGTTGAGATTTCTGATCATTTCATAATTTTTTTTTTTTTTTTGCTTAAGGGCTTTTTGTGCTTTTGCTTTCTTATGTGCCTCTTTTATCACCATTAAGTTAAAAGAACAAAATACTGTCAGCACTGACTACACACCACCACTCAAGGTGTCAACATGCCTGTTTTGTGGTGAATAAAACTGGCTCAGGTGCTGGAATTGTCATGCTCGGTAGATGCCTTTTCTGTTTCCAGCTCACTGGAGCTCTCTAGCAGTGGCTTGTCAGTGTGCCACAGCATGTCTAACCATGGGGCCATGTCCCCATTCCTTGTCGTTGGAACAGGTGGAGGATATCACAGCGGTACACGAAGCTGCAATGTTACAGTTGGAAAATAACCACATAGTCGCCATAACAGTCCTGCAGGATGAGAATGACTGCAAGATTCAAGGTAAGCCGAAGACAACCCAATGCTGGTTGCTCTTTGCCACAGAGCTATTCCAGAGCAGGAATTAGCACTGTAGTGAGCTTCTGTAAGCCTGGATTTTCTTCCTCCAGAGCAGATGATATAAAAAATTTGTGCTGGTCTAGTGCTTTCACGGGGGGTGGACCACCAGGTTTGTGCTAGGGGTGAGGGAGAGATGTGTGCAGCAAGTGCGGCATCTAACTTGGACCTGACCCTATCTGAGGGGTCTCTGGGCCAAAAATAAGGCTTTCTCCATGGGTCACTGAACAGAGAGTCCGAACTCCACCTCCCTTCACATACAGACTTTTCTCAAGAGCCTAATCCTCGGGTGCTCAGGAGGCTGGAGCTCATTGAGCAATTCTGAATTTAGAGGCTAAATGCCTATGCTGCTTCTAAAAATAAGCCTCATCATTTTCAGTAGCAAAAGTCTGGCCATGCTGAGCAGACCAAAGCCACACACTGGTGCAAATTTGCACTGTTATCTTTATTTTGTGTTATGTTTTTTCCACATGATTTGATGCTGCAGACAGAGCTGTTTCCTCACTACCAGTTCAGTATTTTAATACATGTTTTGTACGTGCTTTAGCTGACATTTAACAATTATCTGTATCACCTCCCTCTTTTTTTTCTTTTTTTTTTTTTTTTTTTTACACATAAACGTGAGGGTCTAATTTTTAAATAGCTCTAGTAGGTTTTCCCACAACTTTCCCCAAACGAAGCCATATTGCTTAGCTCTGCACTGTGTCAATTTGAGTCACAGTCCAGAGAATAACATGAGCTGAGAAGAGTCTATTCCCCTCTCCTGGAGGCAGAGATGGTATCTGGCGTACCATTTTTGAATTATCATATACAGTTTTGGGGGAGAAAAAAAAAAAAAAAACCAACAACAAAAACAAAAAACAACTGTTCCTTTCTTGAGGATATTCTCATGTGTCCAATTTTTTGTTGGTATTTTCTGATGATCAAACGTGTCTGTGACTTATCAAGGCTCTGGTGGCCAGTTTGTGCTCCCTGCTGCTGGTGTGGGTATGAAATGCCCTCCTGTGTATGGAAAAGGCATTGCAGCAGCTGTGGGCTAGTGGGCTGTGCTGGGCACTAGAGCATTAGTCTTATTACTGCTGTTATTGTGGCTAGTGAGCAGTGGTTAGAGGGCAGAACCCCATGGGGCTGGGGGTAAAGACACAAAAAATAGTGTCTGTATACTAAAAAGGTAAGTGTTACTACTGTAATGAATGACAGTTTGATGTCATTGGTTTTGAGATTAAACTTTATTCCACTTTCATTATTAAAATTTTGGTTTTTCTTAAGCCCAGAGTGGGTTGTTCTAGTAGTGAAACCTTTCTTTGTGTAATATAGATAGAGGACTTTTTTATCTTCGGGCTCTGTCATTCTCACTAACAAATTAAACTTCACAGGTCATCTGCCACAGCTCCTGGAGAAGCAATGTCTTTTGCATTTTTGCATCCCGATTCCTGCCCCCCTTTCTCTATCTCCCCAAAGAAATTGCGACCTAAGCTTTTAAATATATTTAATTTTTAAATCTTTGATTTGGGGATACTCACTCTGAACTGGTAAATGACCTATTGTCAGGCTGACCTTTTTCAGATCAGAGCCCCTGGGAGCTGGGAATTCTGAGCAGTTCTGAAAAATCAGAATCTGGTCACGTAGAAATAGAGGTACCTGCAACCAGTGAAAGATCAGGAAATCCTGATCCTCAAAACAGTTCATCTAACATCACAGAGTATATATTACTGCCAGTTTCCTACTCAAACTCCATGACTTACAACTCCATCCCGAACTGCGCTCGGCTCACCAACATCTGTGCTCTCAGACCCTGGTTTGCTGGACTTCACTTAGCAATGTCATGTCTGTGTGTCTTCCCCAGAACTGAATACTGCTCACAGACTGGAAAAGGCACAATTAGAAGAGCATTTTGAAAAACTGCGGCTGTCACTCCAGGTTAGCAGTTTCATTATCTCCCACCCCTGTACTGATGCTGTGGAGCAGCCCCGTTGCCAGCTGCCAGCACACCAGGCTGTTGCTTCTTACTAGCTGCAGCGACTCTCGTCCTCTGCCTGTCCAAACGCGGATCTAGCAGCAAAGGTGCCCCCTCGAGTTTTCTCCTCCCTCTTGACCGGTTCAGCAAAATACTAACTACCTGAAAGAGAAGAGAGGGCAAACTTAAAGGGAGGCAAAGGCAGCTGGATAAAGCAAAGAAATGTCCTTTTGCCCCTGCTGGCTGCTGTTCCAGCACAAGGAGCAAAGCTGAGCCCTTCCCTGCGTGGTGGGGAGGGCTCCGGCACCTGCGGTGGCTGTGAGCATCACCTTGTCTGCACGGTACCCTCCAGCAGGCACCCCCGAGGCTCAGAAACTCTGACCTCCCCTTGCCTGGCCCTATGCCTGCGCTTTAAACTCTTCCCTGCTGCGTGAATGGGGGGGATTCAGTCCCACGTGGTGTAGACCCATCTCCACTCCCATCGGATGAGGGGTGCCCCAGGGCTGCCCCTGCTGTGCAGCCAGGCTGTGGCCAGCCAGGGTCAGCCCTGCACATCACATCTCCCACATCCCGCTATTTCACACCAAGTTCAAGATTATCTTGGCTTTTTCAATCTTTCTAATATGTCCATGCTGTTCTCACTCCCTAGATGGAAAAATCCGAAGGAGTGGGGGACAGAGGCGTGCCCCTGTGAATCCTGTGTGAACAAGTAAAGATGCCACACCAAATAATGCAAGCTCTGTTTGATTTCATAGGCAGAGATGAATTACAATTTTTAGAACTCCTGACTAGCACATACTCTTGCATGCAGCAACTGTCACTGCCTTCCTCATGTGGCTGTGACAGTTCGCGGCACGTCAGCAGTTTCGCAATAAGCACTGATGTAATGTTACAGCCAAGAAATTATGTGTAAGAAAAATAAGAATACCACTTTCACAGCAACTGTAGCTTTTACAGATGTTGTATATAGAGAGGTAACAGGAATGCCTTTGATGGTAACAGAAATATAATTGCTTAAAATAACATGCTGTTCCTGCGTATAGCCCTGAGATTAAATTATGATCTTTTAAATCCACACCACTAACTCATTGTTGCTTGTTACCATGTTGGAAGACTAGAAAGATGAAGGGAGCAAGGATGGGGTATCTAGTGCTCCATTCAGACTCCAGGGACTGCACAAATGATCTTTTTCACATCTGTGATATAAATACCAGCTCTCTTAAGGAAGGACGCGTTCATTCTCATGCAGACCAAGGTGATGGGGTGATTTAACATCAAAGACATTTCAGGAACTAGCACTAGCCAGTGTCAGCCAGTGCAGGTGCCGCAGGGATTTCAGCTTTCCTTGAGGCATTGGGTTGGCAAAAACCCCACTGTATGTTCAAGTGGCCTTACATAAAAAATAACACTTTGCAGGGGCTTCTAAGCCTTGTTCAGCTCCCCTGGTAGTTTCACCGTGCAGATTGACTTGTACCAATGTAAGAGGGGTCATAAGATGGTTGGTGTGTTCACTGGTGTGTCTCCCCTCCAGGACCAGATAGACACCCTCACCTTCCAGAACCAATCTCTTAAGGCCAAAGCAGATCGATTTGAAGAGGCTCTGAAGAAAAATACCGAAGAACAACTGAAGGTAGAATGGCAACTATAACTATAACTCGTCATCGGGATATGTGTTTCTCAGTATATCTCATCGTGAGATTCAGTGAATAGCAATGGGATCTTTTCCCCAGGGACTGGGGGACAGATCTCAACCAAGACCCCAAATCTTGAGCTCTGAGGAAGAGTCAAAAATCTTAGCCTAGGTCCATCATTTTCTGATATTACTTCTTTTCCTTTATTCTTTCCCTCAGGATTTGTAGCTCTGATCTGACAACATTTTATTACCTCCATCTAGCATGTTCCTACTGCTGTCTATTCTTCTTTCCCTTCTTTCTCTCTCTCTTTCTCTTTGCTTTCTGTCTTTTCACATTTAAGTTTCTTCTTTTGTGCCTTCTGAACCAAATTCTTTGATATCCTCTGTATTCCCCCATTTTTTTCTGGACTTGCAGGGGATAGCCCTGTTATACGAAGGATTTATTCAACTGCTGTCTATTGGGGTCATGCTGTTTATTTACAGTGTGGAAGTAAATATACACTGCAGTTATTTATCTGAAACGACAAAACCCTGAAATGACCCTCTAAAAAGAGTTTTCTTTTAACTTGAAGCATTTCAGCATGTTTGCAGCACAACCCCATGGGCAGCCGTGACAACATGACAGAGGGGACAGAATGAAAATAATGGGGTGAGCAAGGGCCTCAGTGAGTTTTTCGGTGAGAGAACTCCATCCGAAAGGAGTGCAAATGTCTGAAACAGGCTTGGCCATAGGAAACAGGTAGCACCAGTCCCTCTCCACCTCTGCTGCAGTATTTCGTTTACATGAAAGGACAAATTCTGCTGTGTCACAGCGATGTTAATGCCAAGTACCACCAGCCAGTTCACTGGAGTGAATTACACTGGAAAAAATCCAGAACAACTTCAGTCAGTGACAGTATTTCATCAGTGTAATTCAGAGCACATCTTTTGCCCATGAGTTGAGCCCTAGTATCCCCTACATCTGAAGTTCTTAAGCAGAGGAGGAACTTTTCCCCACTAGATCTGATCTTTGTTAACAAGTGCTGTGATGTAGTGGTGCAGGCAAGGCAGAACACTGTGGTTTTCACCTCCAGTCCCCTTGCTACTTCCCTCAGTTTCATGTTTGCATTTCTCCCAAGTCAAAATCCCTGCACAATCATAAACAGCTCATGCAGTTCCCAAGCTATGAGTAAGAATGAGGTTGTTGAACAACCTGGCATCCCACCCTTCTAGCCATGAGGCTGGTCAAAAGAAAGGTACCATTGGCTATTCAACCAAAGAGATGTTCTAGGAGAGACTATCAGGGTTTGGATGGGCTGTGGAGGCCCAGATCCAGGTGGTTTCCACATCACTGAGATTCCTAAACCACTGGGTGCATTGAGGAAACTATCTCCTGACTGAAGATGCATTTATGGATGACAGATATCCAAATCACTGCTGTATTTCCTAGATTGTACGAGCTCCATATCTGCACTTAGAAAAAGATCTGAAGAGCTTAAAACATGTTCTGGAAATGAAGAACCATCAGATTCACCAACAGGAGAAGATGATTATGGAGCTAGAAAAACAGGTGGGTTGTCATTTTTCCTGCAGAGGAGATATCACAGAAGTAATAAAATTTGGTTACAGCAGGTAGACTTATAAGGAGTGAGAAAACACATGAAGTTGGGGCAAGAAGTTTCATAAATGGCTATATATTCTGTTGTCCAAGACAGTCCAAGAGGTTCATAAATTGCTATATATTCTGTTGTTCCACTGTCAGCCTACATAGCTGCTTCTACTATACCATGTCTCAGGTTTTCACTCAGAAAGTGGGATCTTTTCCCAACCCTTCACTCTCTCATAATACCCTGGATTTCTCCCACACTTCTGTTGATTTGTATTGCTTTTTCATGCTATACCTGCTCAGCCTGTTACATTAGACAGCAAGGTCAGTGGTGTAGAAAGAATGGAGAAAGGGGAACTTGGTGGTAATCCAGGGCTTAATTTTGTACACCAGTCTGCACCATGCAGCCCTACAGGAGTCAGGTAATAATTTAGGGCTGGAGAGGGCAAGTGGAGGAAGATCAAGCCACGTGAGTCTGCTGCTGCTCATGCAGGCATTTACAGAGCTCCCAGACACAAGTATGAATTAGCAATATTCATCAAGCAGTCCCCAGGAAGGCTTACACTAGGAAAGCTCTCTCCAACCCTAAAGCAATGCTTTTCTGCAGCCTACACTGATTTCTCATCCTTTGCTTGTGGGGGTCCTTAACAAAGAGCTCCCCAGTTGACCATCAATTAAATTTTTTATTGGAAAGGGGATTCATTTTGCAAGGCATAACCTACAGTGACAGTGAACGTATAATGTGGTGACAGGATGAGACACTACCTCAGCTGGGGAGCTGGGACAGCTGGTTCAGCACAGCATTCAGCAAGATTTGTTTCCATTTACAGGGAAATTTGAGAACTCTGATTATTATTTTGCTGAGCAGATGCTTGTGTAAGTGGATGTAGAGAAAAGTGCCTCTTTACAACTGAGGCTTGTTAACTGTGCTCCTTCCAACACGCTGCTCCTGGAGCTAAGCCAGCATCTGAAAGCATGCACTGTACTGTTATACAGAGAAAAAAAAAAAAAAAAAAAGCCCAAACAACAGCCTACATAGTTCTTCATCATTTAGATGCTTTTGCTAATTAACCACATACGAGCACACAGTCCTGCTCTTGCCCTCTATCACAGTAAAACACTGGGTCTATTGTGGTCCGAAAGCACAACTGCTTTCTATTTAAAGATCTGGCTTTGTAAGTGCCAGAACATCTACAGGGCATCTCCAAATGCTCTGAAAGACGAGGTGCCTCATAAGGGAGCAGAAGGGCATTTCAACTACAGGGTCAGGCTTGGCTCCTTGTCTACTGGAAGGGAGGCTGGGAATGAAGGTGGGAGGAGAGGACTGGTGTAAGGTGAGGGTTGCAGTGAAAAGGGAAGGAGATGCACAGGTCTTCTCCCATGCTTCATGCTGGCATAGCTACCACTTATTAAAATTATTGAGGAAGCAGAAAGGGTGCCCATGGTGGTGATTCCTCCTTCAGATCATTTCAAAATAGGGCGAGAATCCTTATTCTGTTCTAACAAAATATGCTGGGATAGGCCAGAATATCTGAGAATCAGGAGTATCCCTTAGGGTTACCTGTGTAGACCGGAAACCATGGCATAAAACTGATGCCGCCGCCATAAAGTGTAAATTATTGCTAACTCCAGTGCATAATATTTTGGTTCTTTATAAAAGGTTGGGAAATTCAACAACCGAGCTCACATGGAGATAAGGTTACACTGTAGTATCTTGTTTTCTTCCAAAAGTGTTAAATTCAGCAAAATTCAAACTGGTGGAAAACCAAGAACAGAGGTGATAAAGTATGTCAAATTCCAAACCTGGGAAAAATAGGGCATCTGAGGCTGTGGTACATGACTATAAACATCTTACTGATGTCTAATACACTGCTGTTGACATTCTCAAACTCTATCCTTGAACTGTCCTGGGTAAAAGCTACCTATGCTTGCAATAGGATTAATTTCACTTAATTGTAGCTTAAAGTTAAACGTCTAGTTTTAGCCCGTCTTTTAAGCCAACACTGTCAGCAGTGGAGAGCAGTGACTCCAAAGGGCAGCCCACCTCATGTGAATGCAGCAGCAGGCTAAGGCTGCTGCTGGGCCTTATCTGCCCTGATGGGTAACTCTTTCCTCCCCATTACTTGGGAATCATGATCCTAGAGGTTGGACACCAGACATTTCTGTTCGATGAGGTTAGCTGAGCTGGATGATGCACATCATACCACCCTGCACTCCTCCTTCATCGCTAGACTGCTCACTCCTGCCACAATGCCCTTTCCACGGTGGACGTGCCCACGCACCCCGAGTGCCACCAGCTCCCTGTCCAGGAACAACGACTGGTAACACTGGCTCTTGAGGGGTGAAAGTTGTGGGGGCACCGCCGAGGAAGATGTTATATTTGTGCTGGACAAGTCTAAGACCCTCCTCCTCCTCAGTTAGAAGTGAGGGCTAGCTGAGCTCTTCCCCTGCTCAATGTTCTGCTGACCACCTCACTTACTTCACCAATATGATGTGGTATGAGTCAGACATTAAGTCTCAGATGCAGTCAAGATGACCACCTCCATCTATCCTCAAATTTTAGAATTTGCTCTAGGGACAAATAAAGATAAAGAACAAGTTTTCTTGGATCATGTGTTGGGCTTTCTTCAGACTAAACAAACCTTCTTTTGTTGCAGGCTGAGAAAAATTTAAAACTGGAAGAAAAAATCACCATGCTACAACAGCAGAACGAAGAACTCAGAGCCAGGATTGAGCAAAATACTGTCATAACAAGGTTTGTGCTGATATTTGCAATCTGTCTGAGCTTGAAAGGAAACTGCAGATCTTAACTGCCCAAGGCTGACACTTATTTCAGAAGGGGAAAAGCTTATTTCCTCCTGAAAGCATATTGGAGTCCTGATGTGCTTGTTTTATTAAAAAAAATCCTTTTTATATCAGGGTTTGCTTACTTTAACATAAGGAAGGCCACACATCTGTCTGTGTACTTCCATGATTTTGACTTGCTGCTGAGAGCAAAGTTACCAGTGGCTTCTGGTCTCAGTGTCAGTGCCCTGAGACCCATTAGTCACTGGGTAACAAGGATGGGAAATGGGGCAGTTTCAGGACAGACATCCTAAGGATGCCACTATCACCCAGGCAGGGTCATCCTTTGTGTGGGTTTTTTCATCTGCACTGTCTGTTTGTACCCTTGTCACAACCTGACAAGGGTGACAAGGCTCCCTCTGTTAGATGATATAGAAATAGAGAAGGGTAGGACAGTCCTCATCCCAGAGAGTTTATAGTCTGCTCTTAAGGCAAGAGACTGCAGCTGGAGCCAGGCAGAAGGGATACCAGGGAACGATGCGAGAGCTGAACTGGTCCCAACACACCAGCTGCCTACCTGTCATTGTTTCCAGAAATTATTCCATTGGCCTAAAATTTAATTTTTAGCTGAGCTTTTAAAGCTTCAGCATCTCTTCTCTGAATTAATATTAGGTTTTGTCTTTCTAGTGTCTCCTTTATTAAAGATTCAGCCTTTAAAAGTTGTCTCCTGCACGTAGATATTTTAAAAAGGCAGCGTTGCCTGTCCTCACATTCAGATTGGCATGAGGATTACGTTTCTTACTGATTGTAAATACCTGCAGCACACGTGTCGCTGTCTGAGGTGGGTGTCCACGGCCTTTCTGTGCTTGGGGAGGAAAACCAGGAATTTTGAAGGTCCGATTCGCCAGACCGGTTTGAGACGCCTGCTTTTGGGCTGGCTGGCTGAACTGCGGACTGGAAGTGGCTGTCTGTCCTGCACACCTGTGACAGCAGCCAGGGTGCCTGGTTGGGTGTTGGGCATCTCTGCCCTGCAGCTGCCTGTCTCTGCTGGGCGAAGGCACCCCCTGCTCCCTGCCCGCCCCCGGCTGCGGCGCTCCGCTTCTTGCCTGTAACTACGCATGTGCTAGTTTTGAAGGACACCTTTTGGAAGAAATTCTGAATTTGAGGTCAGCCTGGAAAGTCAAACAGAGGACAGTCATTTTCCACAGTAACGGCTTGGGGACAGCTATAGGGGACAGTGTCAGCTAGGGCTTTAAAGTCAGAGCGATTAAAATATGCGTTATTCTGGCAGCGGTAGCCACCCTAACTGCTCATTTCTGTTGTACTGGCAGTGCCTGGGAAGCGCACCCTGAACGAGCTCAGGGAGCTGCTCTTCCTGGGGAACAGGACAAATTAGAGCTCTTTCTGCCGATTTGCAGTTTGAGTGCCCGCACCACTGCGTCAGCCCAGCAGCAGTGAGGGGAGGAAGGGGAGCAGGAGGGACGGGAGGCAGAGCAAAGCCAGCCTTTGCAACACGGCCAGGAGGGGAGTGCCAGAGGCATCTGGGGGGGCTGAAGGGTGCACCACAGAGAGATTTCCATGATTGCCAAGGGCAGGTACAGAGGAAGGGAGAAGAGCCTTGCCAGGTAGATCATGTACCAGCTTTGCACATAGGAGCTCCACAGAGCCTCTGCTGGGACTTCCCCAAGCACTTGAATAAATGATCTGATTTCTCAGTATCTCAGATTGTCCCTCCAAATCAAGCAGCATCTTTTTGGTCCTTTGGACTGGGGATGTTTGAGGAGTGGTAGTTTCCAGCGCCCTAGAGATGAAGATGACCAGGAGGGTGTTTGGTCTCTGTTGGCATAGCCCAGGCACCTACTGACCTCTGGACCTTTTGGGAGAGGCTCTAACGTGAGTCGAGGGCATGACTCAAGCATCTTCTCCTGTATCCCTATCAGGTCAATGTGCCCCTGCAGACCTCTGGTTTTACGGCTGTGATTTGTAAGAGATGCTTAAATTGTCGGGAGGCTGGCAGAGAGACACAGCTGGTCTTAAGTCTGCAGTGCTGGGGATAAATGTTTCCCCAGATGGGTTAGGTCCAAGATTGGAACACTTACCTCAGGGTACAGACTTCTGTAGTGAGAACACATTTGCTTTTACATTGCCTCTTTTCCTTCTTCTGCCTGAACGATGAAGAAGGGCTGAATGGGCACCTGTATCTTTTATAAGCACTGACGCTGCATCTGTCCATCTCCTCGTGGCGCAGCAGAGGCAGGTCCAGGTTTGCTGAGCTGAAGCAGAAGGCTTTGCTGAAGGGTGCCGACACTGCTGGCTGTGCAAGCTGCCTCTGTCTCTGGGTGGCGTGAAGCCGGCTCTGCCTGTGTCCAGTCACACCACGTCGGGTGACACAATGTGAATCCCCAGCACAATGTGCACTGAGGCTAAGATAAGCAGCACAACAACCAGCAGCTCCTTTCTCTAACTGCGTGCCAAAGCAGGTCTCTCTGGAGGACATGTCTACACGCTGCACGGCGTGTTCACAGGCACTTGGCTCTTTTCTGCTCAAACATCTCCCGACTTGCCTGCAGATCGTGCGCATAACTTGCAGCCTGCCTCTGCCAGCAGTCTGCAGTGTGCATTAGTGACTCAAAGTCTGCTGTGTGAGAGGCTCCAGAGGACACTGCTATCATGCATCCTAAATTACGTCTAGCAAGCAGCATTAAGCCTCCAACGTAAAGGAGGCTGTTACGCGCTGATGGGCTGTGCTTGCCTCCTGCCCAAGCACTGTCTTTAGCAGAGGAGGGAGCCGAGACCTTCACCGTGCTCTGAGGTGTGTTCTGGTGGGACTAGTCTGTTCCCAATACCCAGCTGAGCTTTACCAGCTGGTCACACACTAAGAGCCACACAAAGGCAGGGAAGGCTTGTGCTTTTTATTTTTTTTTCCTCAGCGAATGCTGGCTGGAAAAGGATGTAGTGGGGTTTTGTGTATAACTTTTATGGCCTGTCTTGTTAGACATGCAGAAGTAATTCCATACATAATAATAGGTTTCCTATGGAGTTATTTCTTCAGGTTGAGCTCCCATGTGGACTTTATCATGCCTGTTAGACCATGAGCTCATGCCACAGCTTGTTCCCCAATGGAACTGTGAATAAGATTTTCCACCTCTACCAGGCAAGCAGCTTTCTAAAAACTCCTGCTAACCTGTGTCTTTTAGTCCTTCAGCTCCTCTAGCCACTGCTTCCTGGTTCAAAACTTTCAGGGAGTGGGAGAAGAACAGACATTCATGATGACACCTGAGCTCCATTTCTGTAGGAACCGAGGCTAAAAAAGCAGAAATTATTTAAAACCATTTTTAAAAAAACAGAAATGTCCAACACCACCCTCTCAGAAACTTCTGATGACACAAAGAGGGTGGACCATCAGTCCACGATGTCTTATATGGGCCTCAGGCTATACCCCGAGAAGGAGTGCAGAATTTCATGTGTGCATCCAAAATCCATACCCAGCTGCTGCTGAACCCTGGAAATACCTAGGGGGAAAGTTAGGTGCCTCCCTGTTTATTTCTATAAAATCCTAAATTGCCTGTAAATCTGGTTAGGTACAGGCCCAGAGCTGCCCCAGGCTGATCACATCAGAACCTGGCTCCTGCCCAAGCATAATGGGGCTGCAGAAGCCAGGTGTTCCTGCATGCATCCTTTGGGATAGTAGTGTTGCCAGCACATGCCCAAAACACATTTCTATCAGGTGCCTGCACTGTCCCATTTCTTTTAAAACCAGTCACCTGGTTAGATGGGAGCAGACTCGCTGAGGTTGTGGTGCCCATAGGACGTTTCCATGGCCCACCTCCCAAAAAGCCATCAGGCTGTGGGACATTCTAGAGAATACACCTCCCTGGTCCTTGCTGGTGAAGTTTCCCTGGTGTTGCAGTCAAGAATGGAGGGTTTGTTAGGATCAAGGAGGAAGGAGCTGGAGAAGGACCCATAGTCTCCTGACAGAGGAGAGGGAAGGCCTCAAAGCTGAGCTGCGTCAGGACATCAGCTGAAATGGGGAGCATGGGGAGTGCAGGCTCCTGCCCCTTTGTGTGCAGTAGCAGCTGGCTGGAAGAGCCAGGGATGTAACTGCTCTCCCTCAGCTCTTTGCTCTTGCTCTGCCACTCCACAATTGCTCTCTTACTCGTGGCACAGCTTTGGTGGGAGGGTTGAGAAATAAGAGTGAGAGTTACAGCTGCCCATGGAGTTGGGACTTTGAATTTTTGTCCTCAGTCAGAAAACCCAGGACTATCCCCCTCTGGGGACTGCTCTAGCTGCTGTGCTGCTCTGGACAAAATGGGGCTTCATTGCATGAATCTCTGGGTTGTGAAATACCATAGGGCAAAGATGGCTGGAGCCAGGCATTGAAGCTGGGGAGAAAGTGGGATTTAAGGAGCCCACCTGAACTTTGTGTTGCTTATTGGTTATCCTGCAAAAGTGCCATTGCTGGGGCAGGCCACGTTGGGTTGATCTCTGAAGCCCCTTGTCTTCTTGGTGCAGGAACAGAAGCCCTGGTCAAAGGGTGGCATGTGCAGGGACCACAAGTGCCCGCTGACCCAGAGCTCTGGGCTCCATCTGGGAGAGGGTTTGGCTCCATGGAGGTTTATGGGCACATTCCCAGGTAGAAACTGCTGTGTCAGTGAACAGGTTGTGCAAACAGAGGCCACAGCTCTGTGCCAGGCACCTGCTTCCTTCATGTGCTGAGTGAGGTCCCACCACCCTGATCATCTTCATTGCATGGTAGCTCTCAGCGGGGGGACAAAACCAACTCAACCACAAGCAAATGCTGATGAGAAGAGGATGTCTGAAACCATTAGGCCTACTTACATCCCCAAGATAATTATCTGGGGCCAGCTCTGAAGTCTTCTCCGAACACCAGTGGCCAAGGCTTGGTATGAGTGTGGGACTGGCATGGAGCTGGTGTGCTCTGCAGTCCTGGTTGCCCACCATGGGGACTGGTGGGGTTCTCTCCAGCTCCCACACTGCTTCACAAACCCATACCCTCTGAGAGAAGACCAGCACTGGGGGAGGGTGAGTTCCCACCTGTGCTTTATCTCAGCATAAATTTCCAGTTATCCTCTGCACCCCCTCTTGCCCATGAGTGGAAAATCCTGTTCCCACAGTGCACTGCAGCCTTACAGATTTGCTACTTCCAAATATACAATGATAAAGAAAGAGATATGCTAATTTTTTCTTTTAGGAATTTCCGATTTTTACTCTGTTGTCTGTATGAGAAAATGGCCATTTCTGAAGTGTCTGGAGTATGTGCTCAATGCACAAAGCCCTTGACGCATTTGCATGCCATCCCCGTTGCTGATGGTTGCATGAGACCAGGGAGGAAGGCTGGGGATCACTCCATCTAAGCTTTGGCAGCTGAGCTGCCTCTGAGAGGTGTAGAACAAAGACACGGGCACATCTGGAGGCAGATCCAGATGTTGGGGGGCAGCTGTGACTTGTCTGGCCGACCTGGGGACAGATGTACCCCGGCTTGGGCAGCTCAGTTGCAGCCCTGGGGCAGGGGATGGGATGGGTTGGGATGGGATGAGATGGGATGGGATGGGATGGGATGGGATGGGGGGAGGTGCTCAGGGTCCTGCCTGTCCCTGTCCCTTGTGCAGCGCTGGCTGTGTCAGTGCCATCATCTTCGCACTGCTGTGCCTCACATGTTGTCCTGCTTCCCTCTCCAGGCAATTGTCAGAGGAGAATGCTAACCTTCAAGAATACGTTGAGAAAGAAGTGGAGGAGAAGAAGAAGCTGAGCAGGACTAATGAAGAACTCCTCTGGAAGCTGCAGGAGGGAGATGCCGTGAGCCCGGTGAAACTCCCACCCACATCATCCACTCCTTTTTATCGCTGCTCGTCAGGGAACTCCTCTCCAGCAAAAGTCAGAACCTTGCGGCGATGATTCAGCACCTGCGCGCTGAAGGTCCCCTGCCTTTTATGCATTATCCAACCTGCTAAATGTTACCATCCAAGGGAGTATTACCACCAACAGGCGCCCAGGGTTCGTGGCTGCAAGCATGCTCAGTAGCTGCATAGCTTTACACTAGGCAGAGTACTCTTATAGTCCCCATATAGGAGCTCTTGGTTCTGACGTGTTGATTAGGGTAGCAAAAAAGATAGCAAAAAGCTAGGGCAACAGAAAGTTAGGATAGCAAAACATATAGTTTGATGTGTGAACATTTTGACTATGGTTAGAGCCCAAAGTTGGAGAATACTATATTAACAGTTCATCAGAATGAACTTTTGCTGCAGTATTTCAGGTTAGTAACAAATACAGTTCAAGTTGTGAATATTTCTGTATATGTGTCTGTGTTTATATACATGTATGTATTGTACCTTTATACCTATATATAGACGCACACACATATATATGTAGTTGAAGATGTTCTGAATCGCATTTTTTTATATTATTGGATACTACTAAGTGCTGATATATTTTCATTACAGTCAGCAGTTTTCTAACTCGTGCCTAAGACTTGTATCTAAACGAAATGCATTTCTGTTTAGCCTCCCAGGAATATTTATACCCAACCTAGAAGAAAGTTACACAGAAGTAGAAGCGCCTTCCAAATGACCACCAAGTGGTACTCTATGTAACATGAACACCAGCGACTCTGAAATCCTGAGACATTACTGCCTTCAAAACTGTCACTTTTGCATTGAACACCAGATAAGATACGCATACCATTCACTGCTTTTTAGCTCTTAGCATCAATATTGTAAGTGGAGATAGGCTAGTGATGAGAAACCTGAGGGTTTTAGCAAATTTGGTAGCGGTTACTGGTTAAACGTGTTTCAATTTTAGTGTCTTTAAATCCTAGTTAGATCTTATCTTGTTTTACCTCGTCCTGGTTTGGATACTATCAAAATCTCTGGTTGTAGGTTCCTGTCCATTTTGGTTTATTTCAAGTCCCATAAGCGAGAAGGAGGAAATAAGTTGTTCATCCTTGACCTTTGCTGGCCAAGAGGTTTCCAGTATTAGGATGAGATACCAGGCTAGGGCTCTAGCCTCTTCCCATCTGAAACACCAAGTAGAGCACAGCGGACTACATGGGCACAAATGACGTCAGAATTTCCTTCCTTTCACCTAGATATACTATTTCACATTGCTAAAGCTTACCCAAAGTTACAGAGCACTTTTAAGATTCATGGCCAGGAGTGGCTAAACTACCTTTAACTTCTCTGCCTGGAAGCAAAAAAAATCACCCAGGTGTGGTGTGACCCCCCCACACTCTTGGGGGTGGTGAGGCCAAGGAGTGACTGGGGTGGGACGGGCTGCAGGGCCCTCGTGGGCACCGTTAGCAAGAAAAAAACCCCACATCCCTGAGCATAATTAAAAAAAAAAAAAAAAAAAAAAGAGAGACCTTTTCTATCCAGCCTGGGTCAGAGAGCCTGTGTGCATTCCTGCTCTGAGCACCAGGGGCAAAGTAAGCAGGAGACAGTACGTGCAGCAAATCCCACCCGGCTGTGCGGTGGCACCGGCACACCCTGCGTGAGCAGGGGTGGGATTTGGGATTGCACAGCCCTGACACACACCTCGGATGGGAGCTGTGCTTCAGCCTTCCTGGGAAGTACTCAGGACTCACAGACTGAAGCTTAGATGCACGTCCAATCACCATCAAAGCATCTGTGGCCTGTTCCACAGCGTTAAAAAAAAAAAGAAAAAGCTGATTTTTTTTTTTCCCCTCCTTTTTAGAGAGATTTATTTTCATAGCAGCTTTTGCATGATACTGTGATACTGAGTAAATTGAGCATCTTGTTAGAATAGATCGTGCCTCACCAACTACTACTGTTGAAATACATTACTAGATTTTAGTGTGTCCAGCAAGTACAAACTGAAAGTAAGAGATATCTAGCACACACATGTGCACAAAGCCCCTTCTTGCCGAGTACAATTTTAATAACTTTCATACTTGCTAAATGCACAGATACCTGCCATACCTACTGCATTGTCATGTTTCATCCCACCTATACAATTCTGATACTATGAGATCATAGGATGATTTGGGTTAGAAGGGACCTCTAAAGACCACCTAGTCCAATGCCCCTGCCATGGGCAGGGACATCTTCAACCAGACCAGGTTGCCCAGAGCCCCATCCAACCTGACCTGGAACGCTTCCAGGGATGAGGCATCCACAACTTCTATGGGCAACCTGTCTCAGTGCCTCACCACCCGCATTGCAAAGAATTTCTTCTTCACGTCCAATCTAATCCTACCCTGTTTCAGTTTAAAACCATTGCCCCCCGGCAAAAAGTCTCTCTCAATCTTTCTTATAGGTCCCCTTTAAGTACTGGAAGGCCACAATAAGGTCTCCCTGGAACCTTCTCTTCTCCAGGCTGAACATCCTCAGCTCTCAGCCTTTCCCCACAGGAGAGGTGCTCCATCCCTCTGACCATTTTTGTGGCCCTCCTCTGGGCCCATTCTAAGAGGCCCACGTCTTTTCTCTGCCAAGCATAGGTGAAGTCTCACCAGAGCAGCGTAGAGAGGAAGAATCACCTCCCTTGACCTCCTGGCCATGCCTCCATCTCTTGATGCCGCCCAGGATACGGTTGGCTTTCTGAGCTGTAGGTGCACATTGATGGCTCATGTCCAGTTTTCATCCACCTGTATCTGCAAGTTCTCCACAGGGCTGTTCTCAGTCTCTTCATCTCCCAGCTTGTACTGATACTAAGGGTTGCCCCAGTCCACGTGCAGGACCTTGCACTTGGCCTTGTTGAACTTCATGGGCCCAGCCCTCACGCCTGTCCGGGTCCCTCTGGATGCCATCCCTGCCCTCCAGCGTGTCAACCGCACCGCTCATCTTGGTGTCACCTGCAAACTCGCTGAGGGTGCACTCAATCCCACTGTCTGTTGTTGATGAAGGCATTAAATAGTATTGGTGCCAGTACGGGCCCTTGAGGGACGCCACTGGTTACTGATCTCCATTTGGACTCTGAGCAGTTGACCGCAACTCTTCGGATGCCGCCATCCAGTCAGTTCCATACCCAACATCCATCTAACAAACCTGTATCTCCCCAATTTAGCAACAAGGATGTTGTGTGGGACTGTGTCAGAGTTACAGAAGTCCATGACATCAGGTGCTCATCCCTCATCCACCAGTGCAGTCACACCATCACAGAAGGCCAGCAGATTAGTCAGGCTGACTTGTCAGTAGTTTCTGGGGTCCTCCTTTTTAAGCTTTTTAAAAATGGGTGAGGTGATACAACCAGAGTTGTTACCGTGATGCTAATCTAAACTTTTCCATGCTAAACACACTAGAGCATATTATTGGCCAGGGACGGGCTGGCTGAGACCATCCTTTTATAATTTATTAATTTCCCTCTATTTCTGGTGCTTTCCTTATCACTTTGTTGGTTTAAATTCATATGCAAGAGATGCTTCCAGCAGTGAATTGGGAGTGGGGCTTTTACGGTGGGAAAACTGGGACCTATCCCCAGTTCCACCATCATTTGGTATCATTGCCAAACCCTTTCCCATCTAATTTTTGCCTCCCAATCCTGCCTCTCACTGGATTCTTCCCTGGCATGGCCTCTGGGGCCTGCCCGATGGCTAGCAAAGCTGCAGGAAGTTTTGCCTGACCAGAAGGGACTCAGCAACCCATCCCTGCGGGGGTGCGAAGGATGGTTCCTTCTGGTGCAAGCCCAGAAACATGGACTTTTTTCCCCAAAAAAAGAGTTATTCCTTTTTTTTCTGCTCTTCCTCTGTCCTGCCCCTCCTTGCCTCTGCGTGCCGGAGTAGGTGTGAAGCAAAAGCCCATGTTCCTTGGGCAGTGGGAGGAAGGGAGCAGCCCGAGTGGGGCAGCCGTTCCCGGGGGATGAAGATCCCCGAGCGCCTGGCCAAGCCGGTGACCCCTGCTCTTGCCAGGGAGCTGTGACCGTGCCAAGTGACCTTGGTATTCCCAGCAGTGTGGGGGACACATCTCTAGCCCTCGCTCCCCAGCCATCCCTGCTCAAAGGCAAGCAAGGGGAAGCTTTTGCTTTCGGGTGGCTGGAGACTTCCCGAATGCCACGGTCACCGCCGGGGCTTTCCCGTTTGGCAGGGTAGGGTGGCCTCTGGCAGGAGAGGGAACGCAGCCTGCGCTAAGCAGAAAAAGGGTTTCAGTGCCCCTATGTCTTTAAAAAGAAGCCATTTGCTTTGGTTAATCTTTATTCAGTGCAGAAGGCTGCAGCGGCAATAAAACCCACTGCTGTGAAGGGGCTCGAGGCCGGCACGAGGAGCAAGCAACAGCCGTGGGAGAGCTGGCAGTGAGCTGGGGGGGCATGGAATACTGGAGGAAAACTCTCCTTTCCTGCAGGAAAGTGCCACCTGGCCCTGTTGGGATGGCTCCTCATGTGGCTGCCGGCACAGAGGGGTTAACTCGGCCGATGCACAGCGGCAAAGGCTTGTGGTGGTGGCAGGCAGGGTGAGGGGAGGAAAGGAAAAACTATCAAGTGCAAAATCAGGTATTTTATGTCTCTGCACTGATGGTGGTTGTGTCCCATGGACACGCTGAGGAGCCTCTGTACAGTTTCCCATGCAGCAGGAGTTCTGTGGTGCCGTTTACTATGTGGCTAATGATTACAGGAAGAGTTTGTATTATTTCAGTTATGATGTACAGATAAGTGTAATATATTCCTGATAATAAATACATGCGCCAGCGCACATATGGGCCGACGCATACGAACCAGGGCGTCCCGCAGTGTTTTCTGCATGTCTGTGCACACAGAAACTGGAATAAATGGAAAACAAAGCAAAACCCCATTAAAGGGTTACCCCATTATGGTAAAGACTGATGCTAGACAGCCATTAGCCTCCCAGCTGCGGGGCTGGTAGGGTTGGGTTACCTGGCTATGGTTTACATGTTATGAAATAGAGAAAAATCCCATGGATTCATTTTCTAAGCGTCCTTCCTGTATGGCTGGGGCTCCCGGGAGACCAGGGATCGTGGTCTGCAAGGATTTCATTACGGCGATATGCTTCAGCACGCGGTAAGGGGAACATTTCTGGTGGTGGTTCAGGCACGGCAGCAAACAAGCACGCTCTGTGACACGGCGGTCACCCACATTTCAACGCCTCCTCCCCTCTCCCTGCCCTCCCACTGAGGGCACCCAGTGCCCCAAGCTTTGTCACAAGGATTAAAAAGGGGCCAGGGCACGTCCCACCTCAGGAATGTGCCCGATAATGTCCTCATGAAAGATTTCCTACCAGGCCCCTGGCTCCCTTAGCACAGATGGAGCCGTGGGAAGGACCAGGATTGAGGAGAAGGAAACCAGTGTTCGTGGGGCCACTGCCCCACTTACTGCAGGGCACACAAGCAGGCTGCAAATGATGCAGGCGGTGGCAGGGAGCAGATTCCTCCCGCCTGGAGGATTCAGCGTTTGCCCTGCAGACCCGATCCTGGAAAACCCCACCGGCAGAACTCTTCATTCATTACACGGTCTTAATATCCCAAGACAACCAAATTTTGCAGTGTCGGCAAAGTTTACACCACACGGGTAAATTTTAGGCTAACTCCGCAGGTTCGCGAAGTCCCACCTAACACCTGAACTGGTACTACAAGACGGGGGAGAGACTCACCTCAATGTCAGCAGCAACAAGCTGCTCAGCACTGAGCACAGACCCCAGCCTGCAGCAAATTCCCCAAATTATGTTGTACTGTCCCACCGGTCTCAGCAAACCCAAACGACGGGAGCAGAGTTAACACGAGCAGCTCCCAAAGCAAGCGCTCTCCTGCAGAGCTTGGGGCAGCCAACAGATGTTGCAACAAGCTGGAAAACAGAGGCAGGCTTGCAAATGAGGGTAAACAATGGGCATCATTTATCTGGATATCGAGAAAAATGTTTTAATGCTGTACCACATAATTACAAGAGAGTTTCCAAATTCCAAAAGCATCGTTCAGGGGAGAAGTATTTACAGCGTCGCCAGGATAAAAAGTAGCCGCACACCCACGTTGTGCTCTGAGGGCAAGGTTCACATTTTAAAACTTAAGGCTTTAATCGCTACATGAACACAGTAAAAAAAAAAAAAAAAAAAAAATCAAACCAAAACAAAGATAAAAAATAGTTTTGTTTCCAGAACAAGCATTAAAACTATTTATTACGCCCGTAAGAAATTCTGAGAAATCATTAGGAAAATAGACCATCAAACAGACAACAGAAAGGTATTTACATTTTGCTTAATAATTAAAAAATAAAAATATACAGACTCTTCCATGGCTTCAGTCAGTAAAAACCCCTTTACTGACACGACCCAAACTCTCGTTAGGTTTGCTAGCACACTGCCTCCGGGCTGCCAGCGGCTCCTCCTGCTCCTTGCGCCCAGCGCAGCTGGAAGGCACGACGTGCTGCACGGGAACCCTTTGCTTCCCACCGGTGTCCCAAAACCACGAGTGACTCTGCCGAAACCACCACCCCGCGTGGGGCTGAGAGGGAGAGGTGCCTCGCTGGCTGGAGCCCGCCAGGCCTCAGACGGACCTCGCAGCCTGAGCCAGGAGCAAATACCCTGAGACAAAAAAAAAAAAAAAAAAAAAAAAATCGAGGTCTGGCTCTTGCGAGCGGAGACGCTTGCGGGATCGTCTGGTTTCCAGGTGGGTGGCAAGTGGCAACTGTAAGGTAGGGTGTAAGGCAACCCCGGGGGGGTGGGTTTATGCGGGAGCTGACCGATGAACCCCGCGGCGAGCGACCGCGGGTGGAGCAGCCCGTGGCACCAGCAAGGTGCTTTCCCTTCAGCTCGGTTTCGGGCGGCCGGCGTGCCCGAGGAGAGGGGAGGTGGTCAGCGAGCGCTGGCCCGCTGTGTACGTATGGATTCAGCCTTGAACGAGCGCAAGTTTTTTAATGGTAAAGGGGAAGGAAGAAACGGAACCCGCCCGTCAAGTCGGGCCTAGCGGACGTTGCAAGGTTATCCAAGGGTTTAGGAAGAGAGATGCTTTTTCTGCCAGAGGGAAGAGGCTTCCTTTGACCGGGGAGGGACTGCAGGGGAGCCTGCGGCACGAAAACCAGCCCCGTTCCTGCTCCCCCCCTTCACAGCAAGGCCCGCCGGCAGCAGATGACACCGACGCTCACTTGTACGTGGCTTTTTGGGGGGGGGGGGGCGAATTTAAGCAACCCCACCGGAATTCATTACTATATAAACTATCTATCCTAAGGAAGCAGATTTTGCAAATGTAAGTCTAATACCCTATCACATTGCTTTCTAGCCTCTGAGTCAGTAGAATGGAGGCAGCAGGCAGCGACAGGCACCCTCTGTACACCATGAACAGGAGTTTGCTTTCATCCGGGGTGGACGAAGGGTGAGCGTCCACAGCAAGCACTGCCGGCTAAAACTTTTAAGTCTCTAAAACCCTGGCAACAGACAGCAACGCGCGGCGTCAGCACCCGCCGTGTTTTCCCCAGCGCGGATCCCTGCAGCTCCCTCTTCCCTCCTGAGGCCAAGCACAAACGGCTCCGAACCAGCCGCGCTCTCGCCCCTCAGCCCACCCCAGCTGGGGCGGGGGGCAGCCCCGCACCCCCCGCACATCGCAGAGCTGCCCGACACCCCAGAAAGGGCAGCAAACTCCACCCTGAGGGTCAGGAAAAGGGTGAAATGAAGCCAAAGCCCAGTCGATAATGATTTTCAGTGACTAAAGAATGGAAGTTGTACGCAACTAAGCAAAAGCTGGTCATTTTTGCACAAAACATTTCTTTTTTTTTTTTTTTTTTGGTGGGGGGGGGAAGCTGTTTCGACAGCAATTTTGCACTGAGAAAGGCTGGCTAGCTATGTATCTGGATTTGCTCTGGAACTGCAAACTGCAGCCTCAGCGCTGCCCACCTCTGCCCACCACGCACCCGCAGTCAGTAGGACCCTTCCACCAGCGTCCCCGGAGCGCTCCTCTCAACCAAATACCCTGAAAGAAAGTCAGTCCTTTGGGCCAGAGCCCGCCCTGAAAGGTCAGGCAGGCCATTTTTACCACATCTCTTGGCTTTGGCAGAAAAGGATCTATTCTCATGTCAAGCAAAGGCATCGCGTCTCTATTCCCACCTCTTCATACAGCGAAATGCGCTGCACCTGTACAAAATATTCTTGTAATAAAATAACAACTGAACTATTTACAAAGAAAAGCTCAAATGAATGAAGGCGTATTATTCACAACAGCAAGGTTATAGCAGCAGTTGCATGTCTTCAAAGATACCTGGCTTGATCTATGCAGACATCAGCAGGGAGGCAGAGGAGACAGTAAAAAAAAAAAAGAAAAAATAAAAAAAACACTCATTCAGCAAAGTCCTTGACGTTGTCCTCGAAAGAGGCAGTCAAATTTTGCCTCTCAGCTTACAAAACATACAAGCAAGGGGTGGATGCAGCCAGGAGGGGATGATGCAGGAGTACACAGCTGTGTCAAACTCATCACCTCTCCACTGGTCCGTTCCCCAGGTCGAGTCGCACCAAGAGGAGGCCAGAAGGTCCCCAGGTCCAGCTGGACACGGGGAAGCAGGGAGAAAAAAGAGCCAGGGACACACCTGTGCTTCCCTGTCACTGCCCAGGGCTGCGGGCCCCCTCCACCTCCTTGTATCTGGTGAGTAGCAACGAAGAGATGGCAGCACCCGCCCGCAGGGAACTGTTGGGTTGAAGAAGTCAAGCTGGAGGAGTGGGAGGAGATGGGGCTAAGGACACCCCCACCCCCCCTCAAATAGCAAATTCGCAGCGGGTGGCTCTGGGGCTGGTACAGCTAACGGCACATTTAAATACCAAATCTGGTGACACAGAAAGGCTTTCCTATGAACCTTCTCAGAAAAAAGGCAACTGAATCAAAATGACCCCCCATCAGGACTTTCCTTTCTTCTACATGCTGCTATTATATGCCATAAAAGCTGAAACAAAGTTATGGAATATAAATACCAGAACAGATCCCTAAGTAGACAACAAAAATAAGTTAACATTTATATAAAAAAAAATTTACATACAGCAAGAAATCCGCATATTTTTAAATAATTTTCTTTGGAAACAGACTTCCAGTCAGAATTCAGTCCGAAATGGTCATTGCTGAATAATTGCTCAGAAGCTGGTACCCAAAGTAAGGAAAAACATCCTTACATTTTTGGTACAACGGGAAACTTTGCTCCCCTCTGAGTTCACATCTTCTCCCACTCCCACCACACATTCAGTGGTTTCGGGGAGGATGTGGAATGTGTAGAGCTTGCCTGTGTTTAAACAAAATAGTCCTCAACCTAGTGTCTTTTAATTTTTAACATTCTTTTTCTCCCCGCCTGAGCAAGACTTTGCATATGCACAAGGAGTAAAGGCTTGGCAGGTGCTCAAGACCCAGCAACTGAAGCAGACCCTGACTTCATTTTGGGGGGGGAGCTGCCCTCAAAACAGACCCTGAAACGCACTCGGGAGGCAACGCACGTGTTGCCTTCACTCCCTCCAGTTCCAACCCTGGCAAGAGTCTCCCAGTGCACTAGAAGCAGGCCGAGATTAAAACTCCTCGGTGGACAGAAAGGCTATAAAGTCTCTCTTGGAAACCTGTGAGACAGTGCACAGCCTGGCCATGTAACCTGGGGAGATGATGGCCTGGTTCTCCTTTCTGCTGCACCAGGATGCCTGGTGAGACCCTGGTCAAGTCACGCAGCGGTCTGTTCTTCAATTCTCCATCTGAACAACGGGAACAAGACTTCATCTCTTCATCAGCGAGAGCCACGCTGACAAAGAGAATAAAGATTGTCCGGTGTTCAGAGGCAGCAGCGTGGAGGACACCTAGGACAGCATCCGCTCAGGTTGGGAGAAGGGATTTCTGCAGTAGCTATTTGGGAGGCCCCGTCCCTGGAAGTGTTTGAGGATGGGTTGGTTGGGGCTCGGAGCAACCTTGTCTAGTAAAAAATGGCCCTGCCCATGGCAGGGAGGCAGGACTGGATGATCTTCAAAGGTCCCCTGCAACCCAAACCACTCTGTGATTTTCCGATTTGTTTTTCAGTACGAGCTGAAGCAGGAATTGAAATCAGTGGCATTACATGGGCACAGCCCACCTTCACGATGCTTTAACAAGCCTTTTTTAGGGTAGTGAATGCGGCTGGGGAAAGCTATTGGAGAGAATTAAAGCCAAATTTCATCTTACAGCAAAACCAAGGCATTGCCAACCAAACACAGACCCTGGGTCTGAACTCTGAATTTCCCACCTTTCGCAACAGCCAGGATCTGGCGATGATCTCCAGACCCACAGGGAAAGCTCCTCTCAGGAAGTCAGACCCTAGAGCTTAGCGGTGGTTTCTGGGCTGCAGGCTCTACAGGGACCAAGGGCCCCTGCCACCCCCAGAGCCCTTGTCTGGGCAGAGGGCAGATGCCAGGCACCGCTCACCGATGAAGTTCAAGCCCCCGAGGATCTTCCCGTGCTTCCCCTTTGCGGGGCAGAAACGTGCTCCACCCGCCAACGCCAAACCAAGGTCTCATGGCCAAATCCTTTGCTAACGCCACGTGGCCGGGACACAAAACTGATGTGGGGAAGAGTAAAACAGGGCCCCACTTGTTGTCAGAGCTGGACTCACGAGCACTTCTGCCGGCCACACCACCGCTGCAGCCACACCACTGGTGATTTCCAAGGCGGAGAGGTAGGACGGCTCTTTGGAGACACCTCTGCTTTCCAAGCCATTCCGGTACTTGCACCACACAGTTTCGTGACTAAACCTGGCGATCCCTCTGCTGAGCGTGTCGTCAGCAGAAACATCTGCTGGCGTTAGCTGCGCACTGGCAAACGAGACCATCCACCCGACCAGCAGCGACCACAAACCCTCCCAGCGTTGCGCAGCAGCAGTGCACTTTAAAGCATATGAGTAAGTAGGTTTAAAAAAAAAAAGTTAAATACAACAAAAACCAGGAGACCTGATACTTTAAAGAACGCGCAAGTCTTGCAGATGCTTTCTTAAGCAGGTGAAAGCCGATGCCTGGCAAGAGCCTTTTTTTTTGTGCGTACACGTGGGGTACAGCTCACATTAGGTGGAGGACGGATCGGGTCTAAGCCTGACAGTAGCACTGCAAAATCTGCTCCGGGTATAATCAGGTAGAGTATCTGTGGGGAGGTAATTCCTGGGGCTACTGAAAGACCGACCTTTGTGAGGCCTGGTTTCATAGCAGCATTTTAAGGTTAACTGGCACACAGAAGCAGTTTTCTTTCTATACACTGGGATTAAAAAAAAAAAAAAAAACAAAAAAAACAAAACAGGAGAGGGAGGAAGAAAAGCGCATGGCCCCAGATTAGTGCCAGAGGTGAGGCTTTTTTCCTTGTGATCCCTTTCAGCTGTGCTACTAAGCAAACTGCAAGCTGCAGCAAACAGGGCTGGGGAGTCCCACGTTACGCTTCCTTGTTCCTGCTGAAGCAGACGCAGCCCGGTTCTGGATTCCCACCGCAAAGCTTCCTTCACCGCAGCCGTTCCCCAGTTGCCCGTGAGCCACACAGGCAGTCATTTACAGCTGTCCGAGCCAGCGTCCGCGTTTCTCTCCACGTCTGCTGTGGCTGTGTAGGTGGCTTCCACGCTGTGCCATATTCCATAGGTAAAGTAGATGACAAAGCCTGGGGAAGCCAAGGGGAGAGGGCACCGTTAGCTCTGTAAGGAAACAGAAACCACTACTAACACCCACCGACACAGGTTACACCAGGGGTAAGTCCAGTCACCCCGACAGCTAGCTTCCATCAGGCAGCAACTACCTTCCTTAGAAAAAAGCCATTAACACAGGCACCAGTCTTTAAAAGACAATCTATCCACGCCCCAAATGAGGGGCTGATTATAGAATAAAACTTCTCATGTTTTCCAGTGTGTTCAGTGAAGTCCATTCTGCAGAGAGCTTGCTCTCTCCATTTGTGTGCCTACAGCCTCCATCTCGGTAAAACACACCCACAATTGACGCTAATCTTACTTGTTTTCATCGTAATAAATTCCCTGGCGTTTCAGGCAATTCAGCCTTCTCCACATGGCTACTGGGAGCACCTTGGGATGGAGCCCAGCTCCTTCAGCTCCAGCACAAGCACTACCACCTGGACTGCAGTTCCAGGCCGGCCAACAAGAAACATTCTATGGTTTCTTGTTGACAACAGGATGGTTCCCAGGTGGTTCTCTTGTCCTCACAAAGGCTTTATGACCCTTGAATTTAAAACAAGGCTTGAGACACGCTGCCTAAATGACTTCAGTTAAGTCACCAAGGTTGCCCAAGGATGATGAGTGCAAAATTCCTCCCTGGAATGCTACAATAAATATATGGTTAACAACATCTAGCAACAACAAACGTAGCATTTTTAACTCCATCAAGCTCACCTATGAGCATCCAGATTGCAAAACGTATCCATGTCCCTAGGTCTAGCTGCATCATGAGGTAAACATTCACAAAAATACTCACAACAGGAAGAAGGGGCAAAAGAGGTACCTGGAAAAGAAAGAGGGATACATTACATCCAGGGGGCAGATGAATGGGCAGGCAAGAACACCACATCCCTTGTGAATGGGAAGCGATGGCCGTTACCAGCTCTTCAGGTGCCATGATCTGAAAAAAAGGCAAGGTTAGACCAAAACTTCAAGTCCACCATGGGAGAGGGATGTGAACAGTGGCGTTCACCTGTTTTAAGAATGGTTGTCCTTGTTTTGTGGTCTGCAAGGAGGCAAGAGGCAAATTTTAGGAGCAATACTAAATACTTGTGGGGCAAAGGAGAGAAGAGGAAAACCAAGGACTGTATCATGACAGGCATCTACTGAAGACCAGAGGTAGGTGAGGGGAATGTCAGAGGAGGGACCTGAGGAACTTCATCCAGCAGGTACACCCAGGTAATTAAGCAATACAGAGCAAATTATCCCAGAGCAGAAGAAAAAACAGGAAATATGGTAAGAGACAAGTGCAGCTGTACCAAGAATGCCTTAGTGATCCGAGATACAAAGCAGAATGAGACAGGAAAGCCACAATGCAAAAATCAGAACATAAAGAAATAGCACGGGCATGTAAGGACAAAATTAGAAAGGACAAATTTTAACAACAGAAAGGTTTGTGAATATGGTGAAAACAAGAGGAAAGTGAACTTCATTCTGAAGGAAAAAAGACTTCCAAAAGGAAACAAGCTGAAATGTTGTAGGCCTTTCGTGATTTAAGCTTCACAAAAAATCCCCCACATTTATGGTGAGCAGCTGTTCACATCATTAGAGAAAGGGGATAGGCACACAAATTAGAAAATGGAAGAAGAGTATTTTTCTAAATTAGGCTCTGTCAAGTCAGTAGGGACAAATGAAATTTCCCTAGGTGGGTGAGTTATGTACCCAGAGATTGCAGAAGTGACCTCTGAACTATTAATAGGCGTCTCTCAGAGCTCTTGGTAGACCGGTAAGGTCTCTAAGGGCTGGAGAAGAGAGACAAATTACCTATTAAAAAGAAATACAGGAAAACAACTGGGGAACAGACCCGTCAGCCTTGGATTCCCCAAGACTTCGGAGAAAAATCACTCGACAGTTGGGTTGTAAATGTCTAAAGGACAACAAAGAGATAAGAAACAGACATTAGTGATTTAGCAGTGACAGTTCTAATTTTTTTTTTCTTGGACAGGGTAGTAGCTGAGGGTAAAAAAAGGAGGTAAAATATCCCGAGTGTAATGCAAAGAGATCCCTTCGGAAGCAAGTTCAGAAAATACATTTTAGATGACAGTTCCTAAGCTTTCTGCTCCCAGTTATTTCTGTTTCCACTGCTGGAACCATAACCCCAAGATGAGCTGCAAACACTACCTTGGGCAACTCTGGTTGGATCAAACGATTAAAACCAGAGAATTTACTGCAAAGCTGTAACTGAAGAGCAGTCTATATGAGAGCAGTTTGGAGGATGGGATTAGAATCCAAAACTAATTTAATAAACTGGGGAAATAGCCTGAAATCAATATGATAAAACATGACTTGCAGAATTATACTGGGGAAAAAAAAAACAAACACACCCAGCATTTGTTTAATACAGAAAGGATGGTGTGCTTGGACAGGACAGGAAAATGACAGAGTTTTTCATACTTAGGGCTGTTAAGAGAGAATGTTCATGCCCTAGTCTCCATGGGGACTAAGTAGGCATAAAAGTGCACTTTCTTAGAGCCTTTTAGTGAGTACCCCTTTGATCCTCACACACAAGCTTGCTTCTTGCGTTTTCCCTCCTTCTGTAACCACAAATCTTATGTGGCCCTTCAAAACCATCCCTTTTCCCTCCGGTCTCCGTCTCTTCCATACCCTACAACCACCTGCTTTCAAAAGCACTGTCCTGCCCTCCCTCTCTGGCCACATCTCTGCCCCAGGTTCTGCCCTCCCAGCTTCTCCTGGACTCCAGCACCATTTACAGTTCTTTCCAAGTCCTCTATTGCCACCTCCAATCTGACCATGTGGCTTCCCCTTCTGATTCCCTCCTCCAACCTCTCAGCTAACCTCTTCATCCCTTCTCTCTGTGCCAAATCTGCTTCTGCCCACGGGGCACTGCTGGGCAGCAGGTTTGCCACGACGCTGCTTCTGCCATGCTGTACTTTGGAGCAAAGCACCTACACTGACATTTGGGGTTACGACCCCAAGAGGAAAGCACACTCAAAGGCTGAGCTCAGCTCTGGTAGGACATCCCTTTATGCAGTAAGCGAAGGCTACGGGAGGTTACAGCCACACTAGCTGGAGAGTTCAAACCATCAGCTCTACTGACAGCCCTGTACGGAACAGTTCACACCATGGCTATATTCTCTGCACGTCCATTTGGCCAAATCCCCCATTCTGATACAGGCCAACATGTATTTCCTCCTCCAATCACCTCCCAAACAGCTCTTTTCTAGCCACACCTCCCAGGACACTCACCTTAAAGGAGAGCTTGGTTTTGCTTTCAGGCTGTTTCCATATAACGAAGCTGACAACAAGAACAAGGATGGCAGCAATAATCCATACAGCCTTTATCAGAATGCTTGGCTCAATGGCAGTGAGGATACAGCTACCCACAATAAGGAAACCTGTGAACAAGCACCAAAAGCTTACTGATGCTTTTTTCAGAAACAGGAAAAAAAAAAAAAACAAAACCCAAAACCACAAGCAGGCAAAGCAGAATCTGAAAGCTTGGCAAACAAAACAGCAACACATGAAAAAGCTAACTGTAAGATACGCCCTTCCCCCTATCTGCACAAACACCCCACCTGTGGCTTTCAAGTCATAAATTTAATCTGTAGACCTTTGGTTATTTTGGTCATTAGAAGAGCTCATCAAAATTACAGCCAGGACGCGAGCTTTCTCACCACAGTGGGTACAAGGACGTACCAGCTGGCCTACTGCCCATTGCTTACCAATGATGAAGGTTGAGATATTCACCACCGAGCCAGAGAATTTGGAAGGATCTGAATTCGGGGGACACAGTATGGCTCTGAGGGAACATTTCTCCTCTTCTTCTGGCAGAAATCCAGTCTGCGACTCACTGGTGCTCACAGACTCATTGTTATCTGTCTCCTCTGTTGTCCTAGCCATCTGGTATGCCAAATTAGGCTGCTCTGGCTGATATCTAGAAAAGGGAAATGAAACAAAGAGCGTATCGGTGTGGTGCAGGGTTCTGTTCGTTTAAAAGCCACACAGATAGCCATGGCCTCACCCCAGATCACTACAGCCCCAGAACAGGCACACGTAACGACTACACCCTTCTGTTTCAGGGGGAAATCTGAGGGCTAACATCATCCTAACGTGAGCAAATATGGACAGCTATTATCACCTACAACTTGGTTCTGATGTCGGTGTTTCAAACTGAACAGTGCTCTTTCATAAGCCCTGTCACCCATGTCACCAAAACATGATCAAGTGACAGCAGTGAGGACCGGAGAAGGAAGTGGCAAGGGGACAGACAGACAGTCATAACCGGGCCATCAGGTTTCTGTATCAGTTCAGCTCTTGCATTTTGGCATGAGGGGGATGAGACAACAGCCCAGCAGCTATTGCACCCCAGCAGCTGCTGATCGCATCCCAAGGTGACAATGCTGGTTCCCTGTCCTCCTCCATCCCTGTCTCTTCTGCTAGTTTGTCTGCTGCCACACAGGGAAGGAAGAGGTGAATGAAGAACAGTAATATTTTCGTGGCATGTGTGGACAGCGCTTCATTCAACAGGGCCCTGATGCACAGCCATATAGATCTATAAAAAAACAAACAAACAAAAACAAAAAACAAAAAAAACCCACCACTCTTCCAGGCTCAGCTCTCTTTTACAGAAGGTTTTACCCCTGACTCTCAGCCACAAGCCTGACTAAAGGAAAGGGCCATTTTGAAAGGCACCTTAAAATCACACCTGTGGGGATGTTTGCAACAAGGCATTTGTGGAACACGGAAAATTGAGAAATGCGCTGAAATCCTTGGCTCCAGCCACAGCAGGGTATAAGTAGCAGGACCTTACAGCTTTGGGAACAATTCAGCTGCTTACTTCATTAGGCAGCCAACGGGGCAGCCAAATCACTGCCCAGGCTGCTACAAGACAGGCTGTATATGCCATACAATGGGTACAGCAGTTTGGAAAAATAAATTAAGAAGCCATTTACAGCTGTATGGAGAAGAGAGGACTGGGAAACCAGAGGAAAAAGTAAGAAAGGCAAGGAAAATTGTCAAGGATTCTGAAGGGGCAGGGTGGCCAACACAGGCATGGAGCAAGAGTATTACAGTACGGCATTGGCCCTTCACCTCCTGCGAGACAGTTGTGAGCAGGTAAAAAACCTCCACCAGACTTTGAATAAGTCATTGAACACAAATCTTCAAAATTGAACACAATCTTCAAAATACAGACCTCGTGGGTATAGTGCTGCTGTCTGTGAGGTGCCGAGCAATGAGGATTCTCAGTTTTCAGCTTAGCTCAGGGAAGCTATGGGAGCTCAGCACTTCTAAAAGACGTGCACTATGGCACTGGTCCTGCAAACAGATGCTCGGCTTTTTTGCTGCTACTAGACTTTATCTTGAATCCCCCTTTCAAAAGTGAGATGAGCTGAACCTGAAGCCCCAGTGGGAACAAGAGTGATGACGACACAGGCATCCAGGACCACCCATCTCTCATCCCTACCCGTTGGCCTATCTCCCAGGGCATTCAGGGGTGACCACAGCAGGAGGAGTGGCATGGACCAAGGGTTAACCAAGCTCAGAGGACTCCCTTGCAGATACAACTAGCACAGTCCTCCATGAGCTTAAAAAAACAAGTTTTTCACAGGCTTATAGCTGGAGATGTTCATGGTTTTACTGGGTCCACGGCAACTACGAGGGCATCTGATCACTACGTGGATTTCTGTCTGTGTGATACAAGAGAGGCTGTTTCTACGTCCATACCTCAGTACTAACACGCAGGCTGCCACCAAGGAGTAAGCCAGGAGGGTCCCAATGGACATGAGATCCACAAGATCTTTCAAGTCGAAGAGAAAGGCCATAACAGCTGTAGGAGAACAGGAAGGTGAGAGAGGGAAGAAAAATCAGTAACATGGCAGAACACGCACGTGTCAGGAGCATTAACAACGATGCAGCACACACGTGTTGCTCAGGACTTGACAGGGGAGCTTGAGCTGTCCTGAGGGGAGGAGGCAGGACTTGGCATATGAATAACCCAAGCCTCTCAGGCTGTCCCAGCACAGACTCACTAACTGGAACCAGAGGAATCATTTACTACAGTAAACGCCAGCCTGTTTGTCTCATGTGGGTATGTTCGCCGAACTACCAAGGAATGAGCAGGTATTTAAGCCACAGCCTCGTTGCTGGAGTCCCCCCAGTGCAGCCGCAGCACCCTTAAAGCCACAATTATCTCCTGGATGTAGCTAGAGGGAACAGAGAATGGCAGGCAGCACCTCGCTCCGTGTCTCAGCTCAGCTGGGGCAAAACCAGGCTTGTGCACGCAGCGGGATCAAGCGTCAAGGAGGGCACCTTGAGACAGCATGCCTCGTCGTGGACGTTTCCAGAAAAAGGTATAGACTGCCATCCCTTAGGGATTACCCAGCTTACACACCCTCACCAGGCAACCCCAGGTTGTACGGGGCTTTATACAAAGGCCTTCAGAAGAAGCAAGTAAGTGAAGGACAGGCACCATAGTCATTCAGGTGACACCACCGTTTGTCAGGGATCTTAGAGCTAAGCCTGGCCCAGCCTGTCCTCAACGCAACAACTGGAGCCCAACAACCTAAACTTCAAGCTCAGCTGGGAAGTGCTGTCCTGCAGCTGGTGTGTGCTTTGGTCCTCAGCACTACAGACCACTCTGAAGAGATCTCAACAGACTGAACATATTTTTTTTTTTTTTTACTTTATCTGGCTCTTTTTTCCCCCAATCCAGACCCAGGGACACCTGAAGAGGAAGGTGTGAGAGAAGCAGCTGTGAGGAGGCTCCGTGAGTCCCAGCAGCAGTAGCTGAGCCCTTTCACAGGAGCTCAGAGCCCACTGTGGCAGTCTGGCAGCTGCTCCCCACCAAAGGTGGCACATTCTTGTACCAATGGCTCATCCTGCATTTGCAGCAGAAGGTAAAGAGGAAGCAGCAAGGCTCTCCTCTTTGCTAGGCATCGCAAGGAAGGGGGCGGCTGCAAAAGGAGGGTAAGCCGCTCAATCCCTGCTGTCTGGGAGGTTTAATTCTCCTATTTCTGAGGGCCAAGAGAGGGAAGGGGGAGAACAGGATGGCTGCCAGCTGTGACTAACTGATTAACAACCACCAGTGCCACAGGGGCCATCTGCCTGTCTCTGGCTGCTCTGGCCTCTCCCGAGGAGCTGCTACCCACAGGTGGTGCGGTGTCTTCAGCCAAGCCAGGCCAACAGCCACAAGGATGCTGGGGCACCGCTGGCTGCCACCTTGCAGGGGGTTAATTATTTTTAAGGCTGGCAGAGCACCCAGAGAGCAGATGAAGGCAATTCTTGGCATGAGACAGGATGGCAGCAATGAGCTCTGAGAAAGAGGGACAGGCACACAGCGAGCTATTCGCGCTCACCCAGCCCTTCCAGGGCATGCCCCGGAAACCCAGGGCACCCCCTGAGATGTCATGCTGTGCAATACATCCGATTAATAAGAGGGCTAGAGTCAGACGGACTTATCTGCCTCTAGGATGAGCTTATGTCTCCTTTCCACGCATTCATGCAAGTCTTTGGATCTTACCTGCAATGGCCCCTGATGTCACTGTTGCAATTATCGGAGTTTTTCTCTTCTCGCTGACTTTAGCCAAAAATTTAAAGAGAAGTCCATCTTCTGCCATTGCATAAATTATTCGAGGCATTGGAAACATGGAGCCAAGGAGACTAAGGACACAGAAGGGAGAAATAATCTACTTATATCACCTCCTGCTGAGCACAGGCACACAAACAGAAGCAAGTTCATGGCAGTACAAACACAGAGTAGGTGGCTTTCGCTTACTTCAGCTTCTCCTTCAAGGGCTCCCTCCACACACCCTTGTTATTGACAGCCTGCAAGCGAGGTGCAGCTCTAAGATTTGGATATCTAAACTTAGCCATAGGACATGAAAACAGCCTGACTTTTAGGTAGCAAAAGAGCTGTAGCTTCTATAAGCCTCTAGGAGTTGCTCACCTAATTGAATCTGAAACAACAGGCCTCCAGAGTGCAGGAGATGATGCATTCTGCCTCCAGCCTGCCCTGCCTCCCATCCAGATGGCTGTCCTGCAGGCAACCCACAGACAGACAGCCCTGGATATGGCAAGCCCCATACACTCCAGAAGATCCACCCTGCACTCCCTGACACAAGTCTGCTCTCCACCCAGCAGGCCAGGATGTCTTGCAGGCAAACTCTGCTTGCACTGCGGAGCTGCCTCTGTGACTTAGTCACTCAAACCAGATTTATATTCCAGACATGCACCTGCTGGGTCTGCTGCTAAAATGGGAATTTCTGAAGTGATATTGGTCATTTATCTCTGAAATCTACCACAGAGTGAAATCTTGGTCCTTTTGAAGTCAACAGCTCTGAATTTCGTCCCTGGTCTTGGCTCCCTTGACCCAGGGGATCACAGTGAAGGCAAAGCCCTGACATCCACCATTTTTTTAAGGAGCTGGAGATAGGTGTTTGCTTTGGGAGATGCACAAAGGAAGAGCACTGTCTCACCTCGTAGAAAGCGCACACAAGGAACCAACAGCCACTGCATAATTGGCTCCTTCCCAACTCACGTATTTAAAGGCATTGGGTAAAGGGCTATTGGTATCCAGCAGGTAGTAAGGCATCATGAGCGTCAGGGCAGCTGACACGCCAAAATAAGCCACAAAGCAGATGAGCAGAGATGCCACGATGCCAATAGGAATGGCCTTCTGAGGGTTTTTTACCTCCTCGCCTGGAAGAAAGAAATTGAAGTAACAGCTAAACGACAAGCAAGAACTTTATCCCAACCTAGGCCATGCTGGCTGGGGCTTTCAAAGGCTTCGTGGGCACTGAGGTGCTGTTTAACTGTGACGCTGCTGATGGCTTGCCCCTTCCACTGTTTGCTCCCACTTCTGCTGCTCCCGTCACTCCTTCTGACAAACATTTGTGGAGGCCTTGTAAACTCAGGCACAGAAACAATCTGGATTAAAAGCACTCTTTTTCACAAAAAGGATTATTTTTACCTACAATTACTCCTTCTATCCCACTGATGGTGCAGCCCCCAAAAGAGTTCAGCGATCATAAACGAGGGGACAAAAAACTATGGTGCAGTTGTTTGGGTGACCATTTTAGTTAGCATCTCCACCAGAACTACTACACAGCAAACACAGCAGTGCTCAGTTCCAGGGAAAGACAGACTTTGCACAGCACCTGGAAATCACGTGGATCTTTGAAAATACCTCTTAAAAAAAGGACTCCCCCCAGTTTTTAAGGAAAATTTTCAACAACCAAGTTGGGATGAATGTGTTAAAAATAAAATAAAATAAAATAAATCCTCAAATTCAGGCACTGAGTAGTTAAGAAACAGCTTTGAGCCTTCCCTGTCCCACAAAGCTGCTCTCCTCTGAAACCAAGAGCTCCTGAGGTTTGGCATTTCAGGAGGTTGCACTGGTAAGCAGACACCCATACACCTATAAATCAAAGGCAGATGAATGTGTTTGTCCTCCAAGGAGAGGCCCTAGGGCTGACTGGAGTAATGGACACAGAATCTCTCAAACTCCTTGGAACAAGAGGCAGTACTGCTTTATCTGTCTTTGATGATGATTTCCTCCTCCTTCTGCTTCAGATTTGAAGCAACTTGGTTCTTGCCAGGTGTGAAATTATGGCTAATCCTTCCTCTCTCCAGGGAACTGAGGTTCTTCTTAGCCAGGAGAAATAGGACAGTGCTGATAGTTTCTCTCTCGGAAGGAGATCTCTGAACCTTTTGGAGATAAAAACTCCCCCTGCTTTTAAAGCACAGCTTTAGGCTGCAGATGACTCCCCAGAGGCTCCCTCTTTCTCTAGCCCTTTAAATACTCCAAAGCCAGTGGAGCTTCTTCAGCTGAAAGCACTGAAGAACCCTAATCCAGAATAACCCACTGATTAAAGTATCATAGGGGTTCAAACTTCACAAGACATACAAGGAACCTGGGCCTTTCCTGTTTGCCTTAACTGGTAAAGCTTGAGCTGTTTTCTGTGGAGTCTGACTTGATTAGTGTCATCAGTGACCACCCATGAGATTGGGCCCTGCAGGCAGAGAAGGGAGAAAGCTCATCTTGTGGGATATACAGTCTAGTTTCCCACCTGTCCTGGGTTTGAGTGAGTGGCGGGGTTTTTGGTAGCAGGGGAGGAGGCTACAGTGGTGGCCCCCAGGGAGAAGCTTCTCGAAGCTCCCCCAGCTCCAAGTCAGACCCTCCTCTGGCCAGGGCTGAGCCAATCGGCTGCACCTCTGCGATAAAGTATTTAAGAAGGGACGTGGTGAGGAGGAGTTGGAGTTGTGACATCTGTGTGAACACCAAGGTCAGTGGAAGAATGGAGGAGGAAAGCAGGAGGGAGGCGCACCAGAGCAGAGAACCCCCTGTATCCTGTGGTGAGATGGCAAGGCCACCCGCCCCTGCCACCCATGGAGGCCTACAGTGGAGCAGATGCTGACATATGGTCTGTGGGGGGCCCCACATGTTTAAGGTGATGGCACTCAAAAGGACGCCAGGATCCTGTGAGAAGAAGCAGCCCCCACTGTTGTAGTTCAGCGCTGGGAGGATTGCAGCATGAGGGGGGGTCCCGTGCCAGAGCAGCCTGGGAAGGGCTGCAGCCGTGGGAGGGAATCCAGTCGGAGAAAGTTGGTGACCCACGCTGGAGCCGTTAAGGAAACACTGCTGCCTGTGGGAGGGACTCAAGTTGGAGAAGAGCTGTGGAGGACTGTCTCCTGTGAGAGGGGGACCATGCTGGAGCAGGAGGAAGAAGTCCCAGAAGTTTCCCACCCCCACCCAAGATGCAACAAGTGGCAGCACTGACCGAACCCCCCATTCCCTGCCCCCTGCACTGCTGGGGGGAGGAGGCAGAGATACTGGGAGCAGAACCGAGTCCGGGAAGAAGGGAGGGGTGGGGGAAGGTGTTTTCAAGATATGGTAATGCTTCTCACTGTCCTACTCAGTCTGTTAAGTGTTGTTGTTTTTAGCGTCTGTATTAAATTTATGTTCTTTTTTTCTTCCCCTAACAAGTCCATCTTTTGCTCGTGACTGCAATGGGTGATTTACCCATCCCTGTCCTTATCTCAAATACTGAGCATTTGCTTATTTTCCTCCTTCTCAGCACTGGGTGGGGGGAAGGGGAAGCGAGCAGCTGTGCGGTGCTCAGTTGCCCTCTGAGCTGAAACCACGACACAACCACAGCTCAAAGTCAATGCTCAAGCACTCAGGGACTTGGACCTACTCAGCACTTGGACTATTAGGAGCAGCTTAGCGAAAAGTCTATTTTGGGCTGAGGTTCAGAGGGATGATGAAAGCAGTGCCTTGAATTACTCCCTGTCTGTACTGTGTGGCATTACTGAAAGCAAATCTACCAGCAAACAGATTCATAACTGAAATGAAGAAATCCTCCCTCTTACCTGTAGTAGCAATGCAGTCAAATCCCACAAAAGCATAAAAACATGTGGCTGCTCCTGAGAGGACTCCTTTCCATCCATAGGGCATAAACCCTCCAACACCGTAGAGCTTTTCTTCCTGTGTTTGACTAAAAGGCATGGCACTGAGTTAGAAATCATCCTGCCAGGTGGATATAACAAAATTATTCATGTAGCTCATAACAAAATCCAAAGCTGGAGTTCATAGGAACACACTCGCCCTTTTACACTCCAGCATACAAATACCAGGCAAAATGCTAAGCCCTACCCATTGCCGAGCTTTGGACTTGCCTGCAACAGCCTGGGGAATGCACGGAATAAAAATGGTTCATGGTTTGTTCCCACCACCTGTTTTATGGGGCAGATAAAAATGTCTTGGCTAAGACAGGGAGAAAATAGCATGAATATTTAAATTCCTCTCCTAATATTACTACATGTGTGTAGACACACATATTCATTTAAACATAAGATTTTTGAAAAAGCACGAAATGTAATTCTGAAAGCTGAAGACTGAGAAACGTGTAAACCATCCACTTTTCACCTAAAATGTACTCGAATAAAGTGTAGGTGAGTAGACATCAGAGAGCAACGCAGGGTGCAATGACTGTCTAAAATCTACCCAATCCTCCATTCTCAACTTCAAAATTCCCTGTGCCAAGCTCATACCCAAACCGTGCTTGCGACCCTGAGGGAGGAGTGGAGCCTGCATCCCTGACACACCAAATGCTTTGGCTGAGTCTCATCCAAAGTTCATTAAGTCAACAGACACACTGATTCCAGTGAACTCTGGATCAGGATGCCAGATGCGTGTGCTTGTGTTGAGTCATGTATAACACACCCTTCAGTTCAAGTGACTTAGGTCACTTTTTCATGGAAAAGCCTTTGTAAAGATGAATTAAGGCAATTAAATTCAAGTAAATCCCAAATCTGCAAATCTTATCAGGTGTAAGCACCTGAACTCTCTCGTAGAAGCTCTGCTGACACTCAGATGAAAACTGTCCTGTTATTTGCAGAAACAGCACAACCCAAATGTGGATTACTCTGGAAGTAATGATAAAGGAAAGTAAACCACAGACAGATTTTTCAAAAATATTAAGTGCTACAGGTCAAAGAGCTACAGTTACACTTTGAAGCTATTGCACTAATCACTTCTTGCACAAGAACAGCAGGAGGGAAGGAGGGAGGACCCTCCTATAGAAGCAATTTGTTCACAACAGGCTGAACGTTGCAGAGAGGCTCAACAAGCAGCTTGAACACAAGCCAGACTTGACCCATGCAACGTTTATGAATCTCTCCAGTTTTTGCCAAACTGTGTTTCCTTGCAGGCCAGCATAAAGGACTAAGATAGCAAGCCAGGACTGAGCTGATGTACATGGAGATATTTAAAGGCCCTCATTCTGTGTTGTACAGTTTCAAGCAAAAACGAACAGCCCTGAATCACTGGCAACCCTTGTAAGCTTCTTAATTTTGATCTCATACAGGAAGACAGGATTTTGGCCAAGTAGCAAAATGTCATTAAAAATGGATTCAGAATATGCTTGCTGCAATACATTAAAATAATCTGCAACTTACTTACCTTCATCTTACTGAGGTGTTTAGGGCAAGGTCTCCAAAAGGTACAACGGTGCCTCAAGGATATTGCCCAAGTGTCCAACGAAATTACAGAGCTATACTTGGTCATGGCTTCATACAGGCACCAGAGCCAGCGTGGTGTAGCCTTGAGTAGGAGGTTGTCTAAAAAGCTCTCTTCTCTCAGGTTTAGATGCCGTATTGGTCATGAGGCTGGAAATGGTCAGTTCTGCAGCAGGGCTCACTTTGACACAGCCTACCTCCTATCAGTTTTGGCCCATCAGCACAGTCTGCTTTCAGCAAACACCCACCAAAACCAGCTTTGCCTCTAAGGTGCTTGGCAAAGGAGGGAGCCATCCCATTCATTGCTTTTCTGAATCACTCCACAAACCTCCCTATAAAGTTGCCAGTGAAAATGCATCAATTTCAGAGCTGAGAAGAAAAGATTCAACTTACTTGTCTCCGTAAATGCTTTGGTTGGTGTTGTATATGTCCTGTTCAGTCAGCTGCCAGTTTTTAATGGACCCTTTCACGAAGCCAGAGACCATGACGAAGCCAAGGACAAGGATGTTGATGCAGGTGAACACTTTATTCACCAGAGCAGATTCCTTCACGCCAAAAATTAAAAGCCCTGGGGAAAAAACGGCAGATAGGCAGTCACATATTTCGCTGCCAGCAGCAGGCGCTGGGGACTTGCAGAGGCAGCCCAGCTCTGTTCAGGCTGTGCTCTGCCCAACTTATCACACCTCATTTCTCCACAAAGCCAAGTAGCTCAGGTAGGTCAGGATTAACTCACCCAGAGGGAGGACGAGGACTCCAGCCCAGACATCACTACTGCAGGATGCGACACACCTTCCCGCCCAGCATGCCCAGTAGGCATGTGCCCCTGGAAAAGTGCTTTGCTAACCCAGATAAGCTGCTTCCAGCATTTTTAACTTCAGCTCTGGTCACCTCATGGCACTACGCTCTGCCACCTAGACAAAGCCTCAGACTCCACTCAGAGACCTGGAGAAAGCAGCCCAGGTGGTTTTTCATGAAGGAACATTGTCTTAGAGGTCTTGGCCACATTCAGAAGTTGTGAACAACATTAAACTTTCCTTGGAAGCAGGGGAAAATATGGTCAAGGAACAAATCCAGGATAGCTACTTTTAGTGCTGAAGACACAGAAGAAGGTGGCATCTTGGGAACCTTGCTCCCATTTAAACCAGTGGGAGCTTTGCCAGTGAGCTCAGCAAGAGCAGGATTTCAGCTTGTGGCCTTAAGAGCAGCCATCTGAAGAAGAGCACATTCACAGGCTGTGGCAACCAGCTTCTCACTGAGGCATAGCTTGGCTTCTCAGAATGACAAGCTCTGGTAACTTGTGTTTGCTTTTCAGGTGCCTGATTTTCAAGAATCCAAACCTTTAACCCAAATCTATGAAGGTGGCTGAGGGAGAAGGTAAAAAACTTCACCCTGGCCTGAGGGAGAAGAGAAGCACAACAGGCTGTCCTTACTGCTACTCCGAGGCACTTCAAGGAGAAGGGAGGATCCTTCTTTTAAAATAGGAAAAAAACTGAGACAGCCACATCAGGGAAGTGTTTGATAAAAATGCATACCTGCTCTGGTAATCTTGTAAGGTACCTTGTAGAAATCTGAAGCTCAAGACAGTGCAAGCAGAAGTAAACCTATCGTGTTTATATTTGAGACTAAAGCTGCTCATTCAGCAGCTTTTTGTAGAAAAGAATGGTTTGTATTTTTTATTAAAATCCAGGGAATTTGGTCCATGCAGAGGAATAATCCATCGGTAATCTGTATAACTTTACACCTTGGTAGTACAAAAGTGAGGAGTCCTGAATTTTGTAAATTGAATATGAGGTGAAAGATCATATTCTAATTTGAAACTAGAGCAATTCCTATTATACACAAATGAACTAAAGAGGAAAATCTCTCCCATTCAGATGTGGTCCTGAAAACAGACGGATGCTTTTGACATCAGCAGTCCTCAATATAGTCCTAGATCCAAATGCAGATCCCGATGGCAAAGCACCCCTTGCTTATGAAGCCTGTCCACGGAAGCACAGCTTGTGCTGTGAGACGGCCATCCTGATCAGAGTGGGAAATGTTGGGATCACCTTGTTGGCGTGACACTGCAGCTTCTGCATTATGGAAACCACAGAGGGGTACATAAGAAGCATAATTTTTTAGATTTGCCTAAATTTGGCAATGCTTTGCAAGATCCAGTTGGAGTAGAGGTAAAAGTTCAGAATTTCAGGATTTTAGTTTTACAAATTTGCAACGCTTTTCCATGTTCTGATCAAAGCACTGGCACATTTTTAGAAAAAAAAAAAAAAAAAAAAAAGGATGTGACTTTATCACACATTTACTTCTCTGGAGTCTCACATTCACTGCTGCAAACTGAAGCCTGTATATATTAAAAACAAAACAAAACAAAAACAACAAAAAAAAAAACTCCAACAAACCAGTAGGTAGTACATGAGGTTCTTGCTAAGTCCCACTATTTTTTTTTTTTTTTTACTTTTCTGGCTCAAGGCACCAAAAATTGTCAGATTATCAAAGGGGGAATAAGGTTGATAGAGCAATGAAATTAAATTCTTGTGTAATAGGATTTGTGGAGGGAAGGATTAAACTTCCATACCTGATTGAGGATAACAAGTCATCTTTTTTCCTCCTTATATAAAATTTGATTGAAGGTTTTAAAAGTGGCTTAAAAAATATCAAGAATGCTCCCCTCTAATTAAAAACCTTGTAAACAAGCTATGCCCCATGCTAACTCCACAGCAGCTATATAGGTCAACCCAACACTTGCAGCAAAGAAAGAGTCTTTAGTATGTTGTCCAAAATAAATCAGGACTTTGAGCCTATTCCAAAAGCAAACAATGAAATTATAAAAGAAGGAGGTCCAAGACTCACAAACCGCTCCAAGGTTTTACCTGTTAGGATGATGATTATCACCACAGCGAAGATGTCTGGGTATTTTGCTAGCACTCTGGGAGCGTCCATCGTCATGTATTTTTTACAAAAATTTTCAATGTGCCGGCCTATGATTTCATCGAACGTCGCGCTCCAGGCTCTGGCCACGCTCGAGGTTCCTGCCAGAGGACAGAAAGGATGCAGCTCACCCTTCATGACCGGCACACATTCCAAACAGGAGGCACCTTGCACGGCTTTTCGCCGTGGAGGGCCTCAGAGCAACCTTGCACGTGCTCCCTGGGGGCTGGTAGCAGCCTTTGCTCTGCAGATCCAGCCCGCAGCCTGTATTCATGCCTCGCATCTGCTCTGACGGTAACACACACGGGTGGGGGGTCTCAGACCCCTGCTCAGCTGACAAGATAAAAAAATCCTTATAGCAGTTCGGGTTCTTAGTAAATCTTGATTTTGCCTTAAGACACAGCCTAGATGGACTTTTTCCCTTATGCTTCCAGCAGCCTGAACTTCCCCCAACCCTGGTAATTCCTACTGCTAGAGAGGTCTGAGTTTCTTGTCGTAGCAGCAGAGATCCCTGGCAGCCCAGGCAGAGGGACCTCACAGAAGCCAGCCGGCCTCCGGCAGCGCGATGCTGGAGCAGCCAGAGCGTGGACCACCCCCCACACCCAGCTCTGCCAGCTCGGAACTCCAGCAACGTGCAGGTCTGCTCCAGCCGCCGGTGCGCGAGCATCCCAGCAGGATAAAGACTCTTGGTATCATTTACAGGTTATCTGAGCATCAGGCAGCCTATTGCAGGACGCGGGTGATGATCCCAGCGAGCGGCACGACTGCAGCAAGTGCTTCGACTTCCCTCTCCAGGGCCGCTGTTTGCTGTGGTTCCCAGGAGCACCCAACCACGCACAGTCTGCCGGGGAAGGACTGAACCTGGGGTCGCAGGAGGACCAAGTCCAGGACACTCTCTGGGCCACAAGAGTCATTTCAAAGGACTGAAATAGTAAGAACAAAGAGCTGCCACCAGACAGTGACACCCCTGTGTAAAATAAGTAGGTTTGGGTAAAAGCCAACTTCTCCCTCTCCTGCATTGAAGTGGCTATCGTTATACTCCCAATGTCTTATACAGCACACTATATATAACAGCATCTAATTGCATGATATAATTACTACTGTACATAATTACCTAGTTAAAAAGAAGGTTAAAAAAAAAAAAAAAGGTTGGTTTGAGTTTGGTTTGCAGAGCCGTTCCTCAGAGGACACTGCCAGGGGCCCCCTTCTACCTAGAACAGTTTGTCCTGACACATTCACCTGCGGGCGGGCGTTCAGGTCCCAACTCCAGCACCTGCAATTGTGTCAAACAATGTCCGTGCTCACCCACAGCTAAATCCTCTGCTGTGAGCAGCACCTGCAGCAAAGCTGGCAACACTCACTGCCCCAATCCAGCTTTGCAACAGTTTAAAAATAAGCTGTAGAACAGACCTGTTTGGAGACTCTTCTGCTCGCTGAGACAGCGAAGCGCACGGTGTGAATGATTTTAAAGAGGTGGGACATCTCTCCAAAAGTTATTGTATACCACAGAACAATTTTTCATCTTAACTTTGAGGGAAGAGATTATTTCTTTAGTGCTATTTGTTTGTTTTGGTTTGGTTTGGTTTTTTGTCAGGGCTCTAATATTTCATGTTCTAGGACAGGAACAACCAGCCCCCGCATGTGTTATATGAGATGCCAGTTCCATCTAACTATCAGCCATTTATACCAAACCCTCTGTAACCAACAGCCTTGAGGGAGCAGGGAGAATCTGACATTCTTCCAACATTGCAGATACCTGGATAATATCTTACCGTTCCTAGAGAGCACAGTGCAAAGCAATCTGGCTTGTATCCAGAAAGATTACTAGTTCTGGGTCAGCATAACCTTGCCAGATTGAGCTGGCTCCTGCCTGCAGCATACGGCTCCCAGGAGGGCCACTGAGCTCAGGTGCAGGAACTGGCACAGGCCAGGAGCTCACCATGTGCCCCAGGAAAACCCAGCAGCAGCTACTCGCCAGGGATGCTGTTACTCATCGTACCACCAGCTCCCACCAGCTCCCAGTTCCTGAAATGCTTCCCATAGTCTGTCACGGTTCCCCCAGACTCACATCGTCCCAGAAGAAAGATCACACCAGATCTTGGTCCTGGACACCTTCTTCCTTCTGTCTAGACCATGACAGTTCCATGCCCATTTTTGCTCATCGCCCACCTCCAAGACCCCAAACCAGTCTTTCCCCCAAGTCAAGTCACTTCAATTAATTACAAGCTATTGGCCACCCATCCTGGGACCCCAGGATTTCTTTTTCCACCCTCACAATACTTTCTGAACAGATGTCCAAGAACCTCAGCATTAAAACACTAAGTTGCCAGAGCCTCCTACAGATACAACCTCCCACCTCCCTGCCTGGTTTCAGTGGCGCTGCTTGGCATTTTCTGCAACACAACGGCGAAAAAAAATGGCTTTCTGCCCCTCTCAACCCCTGGCTCTGAACTGCAGCATGTGCTTGCCAACATATTTTTCTCCTCCACACCCCCGAAGCTGCTGGGTATTGTCCTTGATCACAAGAGGGGCAATTAGCACAGGTAGAAAAGCTGGGTAAGATAAAGAAAAGAGACCTGCTATAGATCACATCCTCCCTCCGTTGTTGTTTCTGCTTAGTCACCCTTCCTCCCAAATTATGAGGAAGCCAAATGCAAACATGCGTTTTTGTCACAGGGCTGAATTAAAAGTAACAAAGTTGTATTTGAACACATTCATGGATAATATCTACTTTTTTTTTAATTGAATTTTCTGCACTGTGATAATACACTGAGACCCAACTCTGAAATAAAAACTGAGGCAGTGGTTCAGAAGCCATTATGAGAGGACAAAAAAAATAATCTCAGAAATGCCAGCCTCAACCCAGATCCTGGGAGTGTAATGATCAGTATGTAAATCTCTTCATCGTGCATTTGTGGAATCAGGTTTTGGGACAGCATCCATGGCTATGTCAGTCATTTTGGTAGTCCAGTATCATGGTGGGAAGGACCACGTAGCTAACTAGATGAGGAGCATGAAGGAGAGGATTTATCATTACCTTTCTGGAACAGAATAGAAATCACTAAGAAATCTGTACAATTTTAATACATGTAGCCTAAGCAGAGTCCATTTTAGAAGTCTAGAGGAAATTATATGCTTACTTTTTTAAAAAAGTATTTTTATCCCCTCCTTGCAATGAACCTGATTCATAAAAGAACTGCAGGACTCAGATTTCCTAAGGAGATGAGCTTAATTGACTCTGGCTTTTCATCTTCTTGTTTCTTATTAAAAAGAAGAAAAAAAAAAAAAAAAAAAAGAAGGAAGAGGAAAAGGTTTTAGGTAGCACACAGAGCAGAGCCAGCACGATCTCAGACAAGCAACTGATAAGTCACTATATCGTTCTTGATGTGATCTTACCCTCCTCAGCACCATGGGAACTAACCTCCAAGGTAACACACATCCCCAAAAATGCATTTAAAACAAAAAAAAAAAAACAAAAGCCCTCCCTTTCATAATTTATCACAACATCGTTTTTTATTTTAACAACTAAGTCTTCATTCTCAACTGGTAAGCTGGTTGCAGCCTTAATTACAGGCATGTTGACAAGAGCGTGCCCATAATGTGCTTGAAAAGACACGAATCCTAAATTAGCAAAGTGTGATTTAGTTTTAATATATCAGCTGAGTTGTAAACTGCATGCTCTGAGCTTGAGCCAAGACCTCTCCTAGTAGGAGTCAAGGTCTTAGAAAGGATTTGGTTTGGACATTTCAGAGACTGTGCACCTGCAGGTCATCCTAAACTTAATCCTGCAGCAATTCACAAGACAAAACTCTGATCTTCGGATACTTTAAACAGGTTTCAAAGGGACCAGGATTTAATCCTTGATCAGCCAGGAGTACAGATGCTGCTCTGGAAAAGCATCCTTCCATCAGCAGCTTCTTTCTTGGCAGAGGATACACACTTTTGCTCCCCGGCAAGCATGCAGCAGCCAGGGGATGCCAAAGGGATGACACGGAGATTCTGTAGAAGTCGCAGCAGCAATAATCCAGCTTCAGGACAAATCCTCAGCCCACGGCTCACCACTCACCTCGCCAACTGACAGGAGTCACCAGCAACACACCCCGCAGACAAGTCCTGAAATCCCCCGTGAGTGCAAGAGTGCAGCATCTATTTTGTAACAGTAGTGCAGGCACCCAGACAAGGATTATGTTACAAACTAGGCTGCCACACTGGACTAAAGCTAGGGCCTTGCAGCACACCTACTATACTTACCAATAACATAGGAGAGGATTAAATTCCACCCTGTGATGAAGGCCCACAGCTCGCCCACGGTCACGTAGCTGTAGAGATAAGCTGATCCCGTCTTAGGAACTCGAGCACCGAATTCTCCATAGCAGAGTCCAGCCAGCACTGAAGCCAAGGCAGCAATTAAGAAGGAGATAACGATGGCAGGTCCCGCGTTTTCCCGGGCCACAGCTCCAGCCAGTACATAGACACCGGCACCCAAAGTGCTGCCTACACCAAGAGCCACTAAGTCAAACGTGTTGAGGCATCGCAAGAGCCGACTGTCTTCTCGAGTGCAGTCCACGTTTTTCCGGCGAAGAAGCTGGTTTCCAAAATTGATAATTTTCTGACACTCCATTTTTGTGTTTGGGCCTGCAAGAAAGATGCTGCCATCGTTACTTGAACCAGGATAACCCCTGAAACAGCATCACTGCACAGGTACACTGCTACAGCCCTGTTACATTTCAACAAACAAATCTTCCCACTTTCCACCTTTCTACACGGCAAAATGCCTTTGGCATTTTACCTAGGCTTAGCACAGGGAATAAAAACAGACAAAACCAAAGCATTTTCTGCTTCCTGCTCCCAGTCATGCTGCAAAGCCTGTGAGATCCCAGGAGAGACATGTCACTCCACCCCAGCTCCCACCTGGCTCCACAACCACCCAGTCCACAGGCAAGTGGGCGAGCCAAATCCACAAAGCTTGTCTTTCAGATTTCACAGTGGTTTTCCTGGGCTATAAATTAAAAAACAAAACAAAACAAAACAAAAGACAGATATATATATAGAGAAAGAGAAGTACATATATATATATATATATATATATATTTATATATTTTAAGTCTTGGGGTAAAGAAGTGAGCATTACCTCCCAGAATAAGGCACCACACGTGCTACTGTCCCTAGAGCACAGCACAAGCTGCAGTCAGTGACACCATCTGCAGTCAAACAGACCCACTGCGACATTCCCTCTCTCGAAGCTCCAGCCCCAGGCAGCAGCACAGGCTGCTGTTGCCTGTATCTGTGCAGGCCAAAACAGATATAATTTAAGGAAGAGGATACACAGAATCTAATTTTATTTAACTTGGTTACACTGAGGCAAAGGCTCTAGCTATTTTGTATTTGCAAGGACAGAAGTGAAAGCACAGTGGGGCTCCCTGAAGTCCCGTGTCCCACCCAGTAGAGAACCGCTGCAGGATGGGGTTGTTTAATTACGCTATGGGGCAGGGTTTCCAGCAGTGGTTTCATTTCAGCAAAATGGACCTGCTGGCACAGCCAAACAGCGGCGTGCAGCAGCTTCAGCCAGCAGCTCAGGTGCAGCTCCCCTGCTTGGGACTTTACGATGAAATTAGCAGCAGGGGCAAGCAAACCCCTCTCTGTGAAGGGATCCCTTAGGAAATCCTTCTGGGGTTTCTCTTCCCATGAGAGACACATTTCTTGCAGTGCTACATCACGGGAAGATTTTGCTATGCAACTCATCAAGCCTACAAATTCGACTATCTGTGCAGGCATCCACCTAACATCTACAGTAACAGAACTCATTAAAAGCTACAATCAGTCAAACCAGCATGGTCAGCAGTGGGATCAGCTCCTCAGGGACATCCATGGACCCAGGAACAGTCTGGGCATGGAAGTTTTGTCTTCCTCTTTCTGAAAAAAATTAAGTACGTTGCTTCAGAATTGCCCTTGCTTTTAGAAAGTGGCTAGAGCTCCTCGCTGCAATCAATACCTGAATCCATGAGCACAGCATTAGAGGGAACTTCTTGCTTTTTATACTGTCAAGTCTAGCCCCAGTTGTCACAGACAACCATGGTGTAACTTCAGGTCTTCCCTGAAAAATATCTAGGTGCCTCATCTCCACTGATGGAAAGCTCCACCAACACTCCTCTGCTCTCCAGCCACAATGCTTTAGTAGGCAGCATTTACCCACATGCTCTTGCACCAAGAACGGCTCTTCTCCACTCAGGTGGTTACCCCAGTATACCTTTAGAGATCAGTCAACAGTCTCAGCCTTCATTTTGCAAAGGTAAGAGATCCAAGCCCCAAAGACATGGGCAGTCCCTTGCCCTGTCTGCAACTGTTCACCTCTGAACCGCCCTCTGAGCAGCAGCATATCCTATTAGCACCGTTCTATGTCTTTCATCAAGAGAAACAATCAGAAGAAGAAAGAAGAGCATCCCAAGAGCAACCACTAGGAACTCCAGTGGGTATCTCCTCTACCAGTGTCTATTTTCCTCTCCCAGTCCCTGACCTCTCACTAAAAAGTCCCTTTTGGACTGTGCCAGTTTCCTACGAGTCCTCATCTTCTTAAGCAACTTCCTGTGTAGCACACCAAAAGCTTTACTTAAGTCAAGATCGAGGAGAGATCTCATTCTTCCCTTTAACCTTATGTAAGGAACCGAAGGAATTAATGCCTCAAACATTCATTGACACAGAAAACTTTGACAAGGCCTTTGTGATTAGTCTAAGGAACGCTGCCCCAGGAAGCATGGAGTGTATCGAAGGGTGCACTGCTTCACACTGTTGCGGCTGTATTGCCAAACTCCTTGGATGAGCCTCAAAGGAGGGAAATGTGGACTGAGACCATATGTTCAGGTTAAAGGATAGATAAGACAGATAAATAACCAGCACCAGAATGACCTAAACAAAAATTGAGGAAAAAGGCCGGGGGAGCGAACATGACCACCAATGTGATTGTCAAGGGGGTTGGTGGACCCCACTCCCCCTCAGTGCATATGCAGAAGCCACGCTCCACCTTTTCCTCACCTCTCATGGAAATGAGTTTGTAGAATACCTGCCTCTCTTTGTCTACTATGCTAATCAGCTGATAAAGATGAACTTAGAAGGTGACAGAAAACTTTACTATGTGTACATCCACCACTCAAGATTTCTGGACCTGAGACAACCCCGGAACAAGGGGTAGTGACCGGACTCTTCTCTTTCCTTTGTTTTCTTTTCTTTTTTCTAGATTTATCAATAAGAGTCCCTATTGCTTGCCATCCTTTTCCAAGTTTAAGTTTTTTCTACTGCAAGTAAAACATTTTAACTGGTCATTTGGTGTAGTTTCACCTTAATTTAACCCGAGGGGATCACAGAACCTTTACGACTCCCAGTCCAGGTCATAACACCTTCAAAATAAAAAAAAAAACAAAAAAACCCAAACATACTCCCCCACCTTCCCTGTGCCTCTTATCAAATAAAACTGTCAGGTTAATCTGCCAGTCTCTTATCAGTAAACTCACTTATTTCTTCACTCTTCTCCAGTCAATGGGCACCACCTCCTACTCTGACAGAGGTTTCACTCTGCTGATTCACCATTTCTATTATGCTCTGGTTCTTTCTGATTACCTGTCCCTGACCCTCTTCCCCTGAGTGTTTCTCCCCCTGGCTGTAGCCATTCTCCTCAACCCACCTCGATCCCAGCACCATCATCCTCATTCAGAACTTGGCAGTTGGATAATATGATGCTCTCTACAGCTAGGATGTTTCCGTTGGACCTACTGGATTACTCATATCCATAATTCATATACACAGAAAAATACATACTAAAATAAAGCAGTGTTGGGGAAGCTGTAACAAGGAATGTTTTTCATCTTGAACGGGCCTCCGGTGGAGGAAGTCCAATGCTTGTGACAGGCACCAAGAAGCTCTGAACACCCCTACAGAGCCACACTTCAACCAAAGACGACACGTAACGTAAGCCAGAGTAACAGAGCTGACATTGACAACAACCTACCACGTGTTTAGAAACAGATTTGGCTCCAGGCACCAAAATCACCACTCTAAGACCTGCATTCAACTATTTAATGACCATCAGCATTTCTGTTCTGAGCCTACTACGAGTACTTTAAAAGTGAATGACCCCGGTGCCTCATTTACCACACTTTGGTTCACACTGCAGAGCTCACGGAGTGCACAAACCTGACACTACTGGGATGAAGCTAAACCTGAGGACACTGCAGGGGCATACGTAACGCATCCCAACACCTGATGGGTCCTCCTCAGCTTGCAGGAACAGCTACTTCAGGATAACCCCTCCTGTAAGATGTGTTGTGTAGACATCAGATTCTCAGCAGCAACCGCTTTGCTCTGCAAATCTATGGGCTGCATTACTTGCACATGTGGGCACAGCCTACAAGGATGAACGTCATCTTCCATCTCGGACTGCGTCCTGTAGCTCCAAAAAGCTCCAGCCTGACATTCACATTGCACCATTAAGCCCGGCTTCAGCAGCAGAACTTTAAAATATTTCTTTGTTAATTATGGAAAAGGAGAAAGGTTCTTTTATTTAGGTGGGATGCTGAACTGAGGCATTCACTTTCCAATAAATAGTGCCTCATATACCAATAATGGAAGAGCAGTATACATTGCACACTAACACCAATAGTATGCCGAGAATAATGTGTGGGCAAAAATATTACTAAATGCAATTTACGGTATGGTCAAGTGACACTGGTACTTCATCAGCTCCGGCTAAAACCCAGTGTAAAAGGTGGGAAAATACACACTAAGAAACTTAATTAACTGAGTCAGACATTAAATCCCATGCTTCAATTTTGTCACCACAGCATCAACTACAAAATCAAAAATCCTCTTCACTTCTCCAAGACACTAGTCATAAGCCCTGGTTTAAATCCCTTTCTCTTGGCCTTATGCTAACACCCCTACTGCAAGAAAGTAATTACAATTGCAGGAACAAGGCTGAGGATTTACAAGTCCCACCGTGCCAGGAAATGTCTCATCCACCAACAGCTCTCACGCTCCCAGGAGACAAGGATTTAGACAAATGGAGAAAGGTTTGAGGCCAATCATACAAAAATCTCATTTGTTGAACCATGAGAATTCCCAACACATGCAGAGAGGGAAAACTATCTTCATCTTTCAGAAGGAAGACAGACATCTTTACCTAAGTGCATTTACATGTCAGCTTGCTCGCAGAGTCTCCTTCCCACTTGAATCTTACCCAAACCTGCGTCAGCCACGATTGCTTTCAGCTGGACAACTGCCCACCTCCCCAAAGCAGGGACAGGGCAGTCCTCAACTTTGAGTGGACATGAAGAGTGCTGCACTGGATCATCCTCTATGAATTTAATTTCTTTCTAGGACAACATACATCCTAGGCTTTGCTTAACTCCCACAAGGGTGATGCAGAGATCTCCTTGATGCCTTGTGAAGACCAGAGCAATGGGGCTAACTCATCACCCTGCCCGGCAGTGGTGGTGGTTTACATTCAGTCTGGAGCTCCAGGATATGGGAAGGATCCCAGTGCTGTGGACCAAGAGAAAAACGCTAGAGAAGATAGGAGATCCTTGCCATAAACTGCAGCCAGCTATGAGCAAGATACCCACAGATGATGTGTCAATGGATTTATT